TCCCACAGTCCTAGAGCTACTGAGGAAGGAACCAATGGAGTGAACCCTTTGGGTTTTGGTCCAAAGAGAAAATGACCCATGCTTAGAGTGCCCAGAAGGGTGACAATGAAGGAGACAGTGATAGAGAGCTAATCTCTGGGGGCCTGAGGATGTCAGGATAGAATGTTGCCAGATGTGTGCTTTGGGCCACTGTGGCCAGAATCCTGGATCCAACCTGATTTAGGGTTTCACTCGCTTCAGATCTGCACATGTGGGTCAGCCCACAGGGCCTGAGAACCTGATCTGCCATCCTGGGCTCCCACCAAGACAGTCAGCGGCTGAGCTGAGTTGAATTTGAGTTGCAAAAATTTTTTTAAATGTGTTATCACTTATATCTGGGGTTGCTTGGAGCAATTAACATCTGTCCAATGTATAAGTACATGTAGTAGACCCTCAAAAGAACAGGCTCCAGAATTGTAAGTAGCTTGGCTGTGGCGGGGTCTTTCCTTTTCTGCCTCAAGGGGAAGGGACATTCTACCTAGCCTGAGGGCTGTCCTGGATGTTGGAGCCCCTAGGTTCCCACAACTAAGACCTCCTTCTTGAAAGTTTGTAGAGGTAGCATTGAGGCACAGAAAGGCCCACAGAGGACCTGGAGAATAAGGCAGCCTTGGTCTGGGTACCCCCAACATCCCCCACCAACATTGGGCTCCATTCCTTCCCTGTCATCAGGGAGGAAGAGTACAGAAGGCTCTCCTTGTACTCCCAGTCTCCCCCACCAAAGTGGCCCAGAAAGAGGGGGCTGGGTATGACTGGTAAATGGGATACCTCACTCCCTTTTTCATTTTGCCTGGGAGGATGCTTTGGCGACCCCACCCCCACCCCATCCCACTTCTGCTTGCTCAAGTCCTAAAGAGTCCCAGGCTGGCCAGGGCCTTCCCTGCCTCCATCCTTCCTGTCTTGGTGTTGTGCAAGGTTGCAGCTGCCTCGCTGACCCAGGAGCTCTGGACTGGGCAGAGAACTAAGGCACTGGGAAAGAGGAAGCAGTGCTGAGTCTCGATCCTCATCGCTCAGGGTGCAGAGCTGGGGAGCCAGTTGCATGCACCAGGAGCTCCGGCTGCTCCCAGGGGCTACTTCCTCCTCAAGCCCTCAAGCAGGTACTGCTGACCCTGGGCATGGGGCCAGGGGAATGGAGGGGCAGGGCTGGGACTGGGGAGGAGGGCATGTGGATGTGAATGGTGGACCCCAAAGCAGCCCAAGCCCGAAACTCTAATCAAAGCTGTACTTGGAACCCAAATCCCCCTACCATTCTAAATCCTCTCAAACTGCAGCCCAGTTCCAGACCTGACCATCACCCTACCTCCCATCCCACTGCAGCCCCATCCCTGATGCCAGCCTCCCCTCACCTACATGGCATTGGCAACCACTTACTAATCACCTTCCTCATGCAACGCCAGCCAGCTGATCCATCCTGCCCACTTCCCGGCCCCATCCCACTCATCCTAGCCAGGCCTCCACTTATCCTGATCATCACTTGCAGCCAACTCCAGGTGTCACTGCCCCCAGGCGTCACTCCCCCTGCCCCATGGCAACTCCAATCCCAGCCTGAATTCCATCCCAAACCCCATGCTACTGTGCCAGGACCTGAGCCCTTGCCTTGCCCCACCCACCCTGAGGCTCCCCTCGCTCTAACCCACTCCCATTCCACTTCATCCATCACCACTGCACCTGTCAGCAAAGGACCCCAGTCCTGCCCTGCACGGCTCAGGGAGTGGGTGCTCTCGCCACGAGCATACAGAGCCCGGCGAAGGAGCCAAGTTTGAGCTTTCTCCCGCTCTTATCAAAGCCAGTGCACCGTCTTCATGGATTTTATGGCTTGCAGAATGAATTTTGGGCCTGTGTTTTGGGGCTTTCCTCTGTTTTGAAGATAACTTACTCCTGGAATGTCCTGACTCTACCCTGACTTCCTGTCTTTGGGCCAGAGCCCTCCAGCTGACCTTATCACCCCATGTCCCCATGTCCTCCTCCAGCCGGATAGGGAAGTTGGGGAGAAGCTCTGGTGTTGGGAAACAGAAACTGAATTCTATACCCAGGCACAGCTGCCTACAGTGAAATGACCTCTGCTTATCTTGCCTGGCTGGACATAGCCTCTGGGTTGGAGGTCAGGGATTTGGGGCCTCAGCCTGCAGTCCCGAGCTGTTTTGGGACAGTCGGTCTCACACACAGCAAATATGGGCCCTCACAGAATACCAGACCATCCCAACCCATCCTGATTCCAGTTCCCAGAGTAGGGATTTAAAACCCTGTCTTTGGAGCACCTAAGACTCGGGAACATAAGGATAAATGTCAGGAACTTCTGTTGAGGGGCAGTGCTGTTCAGTTTAAGGGAGGGCCACAGGGATCCCTTTCCTCTAGTACATACATGCTTTGTCCCTTCCCCAGGACTGGAATCGATTCCACCAGGGACCACTAGGCACCCACTAGGCCCAGCTACCCCAACCCAAGCCCCATGGCACCTTCTCTTCCACACCAGGCTTTCACACAGGGACGAGAGCCTCCCTTTCTGGGTTTGTGCCTGCTCTTTCTTTTTCCAGGACAATCCTCTGGGTCGAGGCTGGCCTTTGCTATGGAACAGGCTAAGCCAGTGATGGCAAACCTTTTAGAGCTTTCAATGATAACAAATAGCCTGTTGAAACACAAGTGCCATGGGTTTGCCACCACTAAGCCAGTAAGAGGGCTCCAATGGAGCGAGCCTATGTGGTCGGTACTGGTCTAGGCATAGGTGACATCCGCCAGGTATCCTGGGTGCTTCTAGAAAGTTCTCCTACATGCTTCTTTCTGGGATCTGTGTGTCCACATCCACCATTTTCCATGGGCTTCAGAATTGCCCCTTCTAGGACCCCAAGCAGGAGGAGCCAGGGAGCTGGGGACATAGCTTGCAGTCTGTGTGAGTCTGGGCCATCTCCTGAGGCCAAGGACTGGTACTGAGGTTGGGATACAGATCCCTGGAAATGGAGCAGGCCTAGGACTGCCCCCAGCTGAGGACAGGTTCTGGTTGCCCTCGGAGCAGAGTTCTTCCTGCCCTGCCTGTGCCCTTGTTGTGCTCCCTGCTAGGACATCCATTCTGCCTTCTGCAACTGGCTAAGCACTGCTCAGGCATCGAAGTACCCTGAGCCCATCCAAGCCTGGTCTCGGCTCTGCCCCTTCCCAGGTGTGCCCTGGGGTAGCCGGCGGTCAGCTGAGGAGGATGGGCTGGGTCCTGGGAGATGTCATGCATTTCCTGTCCTTACTTCCAGCCTTCTCAGGCCCTCCTATCACTCTGCTGAGCCAGCAGGCACCAGGGAAGATTGCAAAGTTTGCAGTGTGTGTGTGTGTGTAGATGGTGCCATGAGCATACTATACAATTTCCCACATTAACCATCTTTAAGTGTACTAGGTAGCAGTAAGTACATCCACAACATTGTGTAACCATCTCATCTGGAAAGTTCCTTCCAGAACTTTCTGCGCACCCACCCAGAGGCTATACTCATTAAATACTTACTCTCCACTCTCCTCCTCCAGCTCCTGATAACCTCTATTTCACGTTTTGTCTCTAGAAATTTATGTATTCTAGAAGTTTCCTGTAAGTGGAACTATACAATATTAACCCTTTTGTGTCTGGGTGTTTTCAGCTGGGTGTGGTGGGCCAGGCCTGGAATCTCAGCTATTTTGGATGCTGAAGCAGAAGTACTGCAAGTTCAAAGCTAGTTGAGGCAACTTAGCAAGATGCTGTCTGAAAATTTAAAATAAATAATAAAAAGGATGTAGCTGAGCACTCCCTGGGTTCAGTCCCCAGTACTGCAAAACAAAATCATAATGTTTTTAAGGTTCGCCTATTATAACCAGTGTCAGGATATCATTCCCCCTTGTGACTAATTGCTGTTCTATTCTACGCATATAGCACATTTTGCTTCTCCATTCTGATGGGGACACTGCTGCTGTTTCCACCTTTTGGCTATTGTGAAAATGCTGCTATGAACCTTGGTGTACAAGTACCTGTCTGAGTCCCTGCTTTCCATACTTTTCCATTTATGCCTAGGAGTGGGATTACTGAATCGTTTTGTGATGCCATGTTGACTTTTTTTTCCCCTTTCACAGTATTGGGGATTTAACCAGGGCCTTCACGCTGAGCTACCCCATCCCCTAATTCATACCTATGGGGCCCCAGAGAGCCCCCTCCCCACCAGAGGCACTCCATGGCACAGGCCCTGCCTTCTGTGCATGGTATACAGTAGGCATTTATCTCACATTTGTAGGCTATGTGCTGGACAGGGTCCTTGTGCCACCTGACACACTTGCTCTGCCACCTCCCTGTTCTACTCTGAAGCCTCAAAGGGGTTTAGGGCTCCACACCCCTTTCTCACCTACTGAGCAGGACCCTGAGTGTGCCTGGGGGCTCTGTACTCCTGGGCCTGTGTGTCCTCCTCAGTACCAGGTCTTCCAAAATGGGTGCTCAAAACTGCCAAGGACTGGTCAAACACATAACTCTTGGGTGACTAGCACGCCTCTGAAGGGGAAGCTCCAGCTGAAAGTCCCGTCTGTGCTTACCTTGGAGTCTGGATAAGGTTTTGTAGACAGAGATCACTTGTGGTGGGCAGGTTTCACAGCTGGATAGCCAAGTGCCGGTGGACAGACAGGATGGGGGTAAGAAAGGGGAGTCTTTTACCTCTTAAAGGCAATGGGGAGCCACAGAAGGTTTTTAAACAGAGGAATGACTCTTAAAGGCAGCACTTTGGTAAACTGAGTCAAGCCCTATTACGGCCAGGCCTAGTGGCACGGTCCTGTAATCCCAGCACTCTGAGAGGTTGAGGCAGGAAAATCCTAATTGCCTAGCCTGGACAATTTAGTGCTTTAGGGAGACCCTATCTTAAAAAAAAAAAAAAAAGGTCTGGGTATCTGGGAATGTAGTGCAAAGACCCTAGGTTCTATCCCTGGTACCACCAAAAACCCCCAAAAAAACAAGGAAGAAAAAAATGCACACACAAAACATAATGTCCTATAGCTGGTAAGGCTGGTGATAAGGAAAAAAATCTCTGGTGAGAAACCCTCCTCATCACTGGGTGCCCTGGAGTTCACTGGATGTCTCTGGGCTCCAGTTCCTGCCAGCTTGGGTAGGAAGGAGGGGGGCAAGAAGTGAAGGAGGAGGTTAAAACAGCTGTTCATGGGCCCTGGGACTGTGTTGCTGAAGGGCAGCAAAAGAAGAACTTGGGATAGGGCCAAAGGGCACAGAAGGCTTTCTGGGGCACGCCACCAAGTGAGGGCATTTCTAGGCACAGCCTGAGCCTGGCAGGTAGGCTCCTGGCTCCCTGCTGGTAGCCACTCTGGAAGTCCTAGGAAGACCTGTCCCCTCCCTGGGTTGGCCAGCACAGCAGTTGGGGATACAGGGCCAGATTCTCAGTGGGCTCTGGAGCTGAATGCCCTGAGGTATCCCAAGGAGACCCCTATGTGCCTAGCCACCCCAGTGTATCGCCCTCTTAGGCACCAGAACCAGCCCAGGACGTTGCTATGGGCTTCCTGCTCCAGCTGCTCATCTTCGCCTCCATCCTTCCCCCAGGTAAGCTGTGGTCGCCACCCAGCTCCCAGGGCCCTACCAGCAGAGGTCCAGTCTCAGCAGACTGGACCATACCTGGCTGAGGTCTGGCTGCTGAGGTCAAGGGAAGACATGGGGAGGTAGGGGCAGGGATGAGCAGGAGGCCAAAGTCCCTCTTGGAGCCACCCTGCCAAGCTTCTGATTAGCCACGGATAAAGGGACACCCCCACCTGGAGGCACCGAAGGGGCTGTGCTAGGGGGTTGTGTGGGGGCAGGGTAGGTTTGGGGGCCCATCTGGGGCACCTTTCTGGAGCAGATGGCAGCAGGGTTCTATGGGGTCCCCGGGCCGTATTGTCTTCATCTCTGCCCCCATCACCCCTCCCGCAGGCCAGCCCTCGTGGGGTGTCTCCAGTCCAGAAGGTGTGCAGGGTGTGAAGGGGTCTTGCCTGCTCATCCCCTGCACATTCAGCTTTCCTGCCAATGTGGAGGTGCCCAGTGGCATCACTGCCATCTGGTACTATGACTACTCAGGCAGTCGGCAAGTGGTGAGCCACTCAGCCAGCCCTGAGTTGGTGGAGTCTCGCTTCCGTGGCCGTGCTCAGCTGCTCGGAGACATGAACCACAGAACATGCAGCCTGCTGCTGAGTGACCTGCAGGCTGAGGACACCGGCGCTTACAACTTCCGCTTCGAGATCAGCGAGGGCAACCGCTGGTCAGACGTCAAAGGCACCTTGGTCACCGTGACAGGTGAGGATGGGGCAGCCTGGCTGCTACCTGGCTCCTTGGTTCATGGCCTCATCCTTGCCCTGATCTCATCCTGGCCAATGTCAGCTTGGCCCCAGATCCACCCTGCTTCCTTCTCAAAACCTTTCTTGTATCAGATCCCTGGACTAGACCTCATTCCTCGCCTGGGGTTGCCAGGGCAAGAGATCTCAGGTGTGGCCAAGCAGAGTCCTGAACTCTCCTGTCTTTGTCCTCAGAGGAGCCCCATGCGCCCACCATTACCTCCCCCAAAGAGCTTCGAGAGGGCACAGAGGTGACCTTCAACTGTTCCACAGCCTACGTGTGTCTGCAGAAGCCGGTCAGCCTGCAGTGGCAGGGCCAGGACCCGACTCGTTCTGTCACCTCCATTATCCAGAAACTCGACCCTACGGGTGGTGTCAGCCACATGAAGACCCTCCACATGACCCTGTCCTGGCAGGACCATGGACAGACCCTGCTCTGTCAGCTCTCAGTGGCTGACCACAGGAGTCAGGGCCAGGTCCACCTCCGTGTGCAGCGTGAGTGTTCAGGGAGGAGGCACCCTTGCTACCGAGCCACATCTATGGCTCCCCGACAAAAAGCAGCCCTTAAAAACAGAGCTTTGTCCCTGATGCCAAGCTGGGCACACTCAGACCTCCAGGGTAGGGCAGGTGGAGAGAGATGGCTAAGCCCAAAGAGTCAGGTGCAATGGCTCTCTTCTGCCTTTGCTAGCTTCAAGGGGACCTGTCCTTGAGGCCCGGCTGGCTGGAGAAAGAGACACAGGGCCATGGAACAGGAGGTTCCAAGTAGCTTTGGGGGTTGGTGGCAAGCATCCCAGAGTTCAGCCCCTTTCTAGAGGATGCTGGGAAGTGGAGTGTACCCCTCTTCCGTTTTAAACTGCTCATGGTAATGGTGATTGGGAGGCCCAGCTGAATAAGTAGGGAGAAAGCTCAGATCTTCTCCATTAGTTACACCTCTTCCAGCTCAGTCAAATGGGCTACTGTTCTAGAACAGAACGCCACTGGCTGTTCATAGGCGTCAGGCCACTGGTCCCCACCCACTAGAGGGGCAAATGCTGGGCAAGTCCTCTGCTGTTTTCCTGTCTGTAGAGTGGAGTTAATGATATGTTATTCCTATCTCATGGAATTGGAGGAAAATGAAAGGAGGTAGTTAGAACAGTGCTTGGCACTTGGAAATGTAAGCTTTTATAAGCATGTTTACATAGAGGCCTTGGAACAAGATTTGAAGAATCAATTTCTTACTATTGCTGGTCTCTTCCTTACAAAGCAGTTAACACTTCTGAGAGCTAATCTGATGCTGCCTTTAGCCCCCTGCCATTAGGTGGCTGGTCTCTTCTCAACAGTCACCACAGGCCACTAAAGCGCTGTGGTGCCTGTGACCTTCTCTGTGCAATTCACCCCAACCAGAGCAGGGCAGCAGGCAGTGTTACGAAGCAGAAAGCTCCAGAAGACAGCATAAGCAAGTACAAATCACGTTAGCAGAGCCTGGGTGGAGAGGGAAGGAAGCAGGAGTGTGATGGGATGGGAGAGGACATGGCCTGCCCTGGACAGGGGGACGCTGGGGTCTGACGTTTTCCCTGGGTGGCCTTCCTTAGAGCAGAGCTTTGAAAGGCAGGGAGAAGTGTCCCCCACCCTGTCCTCCCTGGCACCTCACCTGACACCTCCATGGGGCCTTGCAGATGCCCCCAAGAGTGTGGAGATCCTCCTCAGCCCCTCGGGGCAGAACATCCTTCCAGGGAATCTGGTCACACTCACTTGCCAAGTGAACAGCAGCTACCCTGTTGTAGACTCCGTGCAGTGGCTCAAGGACGGGGTGCCCCTCAAAGCCAATAGCCGCATGCTGCAGTTGTCCCAGGCGGCCTGGAATGATTCCGGTGTCTACACCTGCCAAGCTGGGAATACAGTGGGCTTTTTGGTCTCACCACCTATCAGCCTCCATGTCTTCAGTGAGTCCTGGGTGAGCTGGATCGAGCCAAGGGGCAGGGAGGAGTCTGGGCCAGGACAGAGCTGAAGGCTGGCTCCTCAGTGCCTGTGGTATTCAAGTGTAGAGAACAAGTTCTGCCTCAGTGTGAAACAGATGTCAGCCCCTCCCTGAGAGGTGGGATGTCAGGAGGACCCTGGTAGATAGGATGGAGAGGTGCAGGGTGACTCTAAGAGCCTGCACCACATGGGAGGTGGGGATGGTGAAGTAGAATCTGCAGATTGAAGCTGAACAGCTGTGCCTAGGATTCTAAGAGGTTGGGGATGGGAGTCATTGGGGAAGCTCCCAGCATGCGTTGTGCTGCTTTCACAGTGGCCAAGGTTGAAGTGAGTCCATCAGGCCCCATCCTGGAGAACCAGACCGTGATGCTGTCCTGCGACACACCCAAGGAGGCACCCAGTGAGCTCAGCTACAGCTGGTACAAGAACCAGGTCCTGCTGGAGGATGCCCACACCCCCACCCTCTGGCTGCATGTGGCCACCAGGGCCGATACTGGCTTCTACTCCTGCGAGGTGCAGAACACCCAGGGCAGTGTGCGCTCTGGCCCCGTCAGTGTGGTGGTCAGCCGTAAGTGGCCGAGGGGCAGGGGATAGCAGACACTACCAGGGCAGGACAGAAGAATGGAGGCCTGTTGGAGGGTTGGGGTCCCTGGCATAGGAGCTCTGAGGCCACTTCACCCAGATGATAAACTGGGTGGACTCTGCAGCCAGGTGGCCTGGAATTCATGGCCCAGCTGTGGACACCTGGGCAAGGCTTTGACTTCCCTGGGGCTCAGTTTCCTCCTGCTTTTCAAAACATTTTATTTGAGCTGAGGAAGTAGCTCAGTGGTAGAATACTTGCCTAGCATGTGTGAGGTCCTGGGTTGAATGCCCAGTACTGAAAAAAATTTGTATTTGGAAATAAGTTCAAACTTATGAAAGTTGCCAAGAATAGTACAAAGAATTATCACACACCTTTAACCTAGATTCTCCAAATGTTAACATTTGGGTAAATTTACTTCATTTTCTCTCTGCACATCACCTACTAGACATCATAGCTTTGCTTAGCTTGCCTTAAACACACATGCTCAGCACACTTTCACTAGCCTATGGTTTGGCAGAATCACCTTACACACAGCCTACTTCATAATGAAGTGCTGCATGGCTTGTGTAATTTATGGAATGCCTGTGCCAGTGGTTTGTCCTTGTGATTGTGTGGGTGTCTGGGGGCTGCAGCTCCCTGCTGCCACCCTGCACCTCAAGATAAGATCATACCACAAATCACTAGCCAGGGAAAAGATCAAAACTCAAATTTCAAAGTAGAGTTTCCATAGAATATGTGTTGCTTTCACATCATTGTAAAGATGAAAAACTGTAGGTGGAACCATTGTAAGTTGAAGATGGTCTACATTTCTATTCCTAGAGCTGCAAACATGATGTCTCTTTGCCCCTGACTTCCCTGCATGTAATTCCCAAGATCATTCATTTCCATACACCGTTCCAGTACAAGGGCCACAATCAGGAAATGTGACATTGATCCAAGACTAAGCTATAGTCCTTGTCCAAATTTTAGCAATTGACCTAATAATGTCTTTCAAAGAATTTTCTTTCTCTGGTCCAGGATCCAATCCAGGCTCACACATTTAGGGCTGGATTGTTGTGTCTCGTTGTGCCCGTGTCCTGTCTCTCTGAGACAGTTCTTCAGTCTTTCATTGTCTTTCATGATGAAGAGCACAAGGCTGCCCTTTGATTTGCATTTGTTTCAGACTCTGCACTGTGTCCTTTACAGTGAGTCCTGTTGTCCTTCTGGGAGGCCCACAGTGTCAGTTTGTCTTAGACTGGTAATGTCCCTTTGGATAGCCTGGTTCAGGCGCTGCTGCCTGATCTCTACTGGTTTTCTCATCTTTAAAGTGGGGCCCTGACCTCCCCACCCTGCAGAGCAACTGTAAGGACTGATGGGATGATAGAGGGACTTGCCTGGCCCAGGAGCTCCTGGACAGTCCCCATCCCAGGGCATTCTGGGCAAAGGGGTCTAGGATCATAGGTCCTGATGGGGACCCAGGAAGTGCTGTCAGATGGTGACAGGCCCATTTCTGGTCTCCACACAGACCCTCCCCTTGTCCCGGACCTGAGTGCCTTCCTAGAGACGCAGGCCAGGCTCGTGGGCATCCTCCAGTGCTCCGTGGTCAGTGAGCCTCTGGCCACACTGGTGCTGTCCCACGCGGACCTCATCATGGCCTCTAGCTCTGGAGAGAGGAACTACAGCCCCCGCTTCACCGTCTTCTCTGCTCCCAACTTCCTGCGCCTAGAGATTCGTGATCTGCAGGCAGCTGACAGTGGGGAATACAAGTGCACAGCTGCCAACTCCCTTGGAAATGCAACCTCCACCCTGGACTTCCATGCCAGCGGTAAGATGGGCACAGATGGTGTGGGAGTGTGCATGTGTGTGTGTGTGTGTGTAGCCCCCAAAAGGAAGCCTGCTCTGGCTTCTTCCTTCTTGGAGTCCAGAGGACTCAACTCAACCTGGGGGCTGAACTAGCTGTCTAGTCATCTCAGAGACCTAGTTATACAATCATCCCAACTTCAGAGGTTCCTAGAAGACAAGGCAAAAAGGAAAATATGTTGCAGATCACATTGTTCATTTTGTACACACTCTGACTCTGAATTTGGAGGATCCTTCATAGGCATTCGTTTATTTTTTTAATTTATTGAACTTTTGGGACAGGGTCTGTGCTAGGAGTTAGAGGAAAGATGCAGAACAGAGAAGTGAGGTGTTGGAACTGTGGATGCGCATGCTGCCCTTCCATCGTTCTGTGGGCCATGATAGGTGTAGCAAATCAGTCAAGCCAGGATTTTGGCCCAAGCTGGGCTGCAGCTCAGAGTCCTCAGGTCTGAATTGGTGTTCAAGGCCGAACCCTCCTGATCTACCACCCACCCAGGCAGTCATGAGGGGTGAGGAGAAAACTCTGCAGGGAGTGGGGTTCGCAGCCTCCCCAGCCTCCTCTCCCCTCCTGCAGCTGCCCGGCTCCTCATCAGCCCATCGGCCGAGGTGGTGGAAGGGCAAGCGGTGACTCTGAGCTGCAGGAGCGGCCTGAGCCCAGGGCCCGACACCCGCTTCTCCTGGTACCGGAACGGAGCACTGCTTCTCGAGGGACCCGGCAGCAACCTCCTGCTCCCCGCGGTCTCCAGCACTGATGCTGGCTCTTACCACTGCCGTGCCCAAGACGGACACAGCGCCAGCGGCCCCTCAGTGCCCACTGTCCTCACTGTGTTCTGTGAGCAGCCTCGCCTGGCCACTCCCTGCTGTGGGGAGGGTCACCCATGGGACCGGCAGCTGCCCCACCTCCTCCAGCCCTCCTGACCCCATCCCACCCTGGGGTCCACAACAGGAAGGCGGTCACAGTCCTGGCCACTGTGACCTCTCTACCCAGGGCTGAAGTTGGAAGGATGAGGCTGGGACCTCCTTTACCTCCCTGTGTCCTGGCCTCCAAACCCAGCCCTTTTGTCCCTCCCCACAAAGCTGCCCTGGCCCCATATCCAAGCTTTGTTCTCTGGGGCACTCTGGGACGCAAAACTCCTGTAGATGTCCACATGCACTGTGAGGCTTCTATAGCTACTAAGGCAGAAGCCTTTAGCATTGAACAGACCAGGCCCTCTCCATCCTGGCACAGGCAGATCTCTGCAGTAGCCAGGGGCTGAGTCGTATTCAGGGCACATTTAAATACCAGAAGACCTCCTTAACACATGTGTACAGGTCCTGGCTCAGCAGTAGCTGAGGCTTATGGCCACACAGCACGGTTCATCCCAGCTAGAAAACCACTCCCCTTTTTCCAGGAAGAGTCATCCAGCATGAGGGCAGGTTAGCCAGTCACATGGGCTGACTCCCACCCACCATGGTCTGGTTTCCCTTTGGCAGTGCACAGCCTACACAGCTGTCTCTGGCTGCTCTGGGGCCATGCCTTTGTCCAGGGTGCTCTGGGAGCCTAGCCTGGAGTGGACCTGGAGCCCTGGCAGCGGCCATAGGGTGAGTGACCTGCTCTTCTTCCCCACAGACCCCCCCCACCAGCTCACACTCACTGCCCAGCTGGAACTGCATGCCCCTGGTGCTGAGGCTGGGCGCCGTGGCCTCTTGCTGTGCCGTGTGGACAGCGACCCACCTGCCCATCTACGGCTGCTCCACAGAGAGCATGTAGTGGCCACATCATCAGAGGGTGGCTGCTGTACATGTCAAGGTTGCTCCCCACGCACAAAGGTCACCAACATGCCCAACCTGCTGCGGGTGGAGATTCACAACCCAGTGCTGGAGGATGAGGGCGTGTACCTGTGTGAGGCCAGTAACACCCTGGGCAACGCCTCTGCCTCGGCCACCTTCAACGCCCAGGGTGAGGGCCAGGAGTGAGTGGAGGGGACAGGGATTGGAGCTCCAGGAGCCCCCAGGCCTTCCTTCTGGTCCCTGGGTGGGGTGGGGGTGGTCAGAGCAAGGGCTGTCTCCAGCAAGCCTGTGTCACCTGCTCTCCAGCCACCGTCCTGGTCATCACCCCATCCAACTCGCTGCAGGAGGGCACAGAGGCCAACCTGACTTGCAGTGTGAGCCAGGAAGCCGCCAGCAGCCCTGCCAACTTCTCCTGGTTCCGGAATGGGGTGCTGTGGGCTCAGGGCCCCCGGGAGACTGTGAGGCTACCATCTGTGGCCAGGACCGACTCTGCCCTGTACACCTGTCACTTCATCACCAAAGCCAGCACCCAGCCCTCAGCGCCTGTGGTCCTGAGTGTGCTCTGTGGGTGCCAAGCAGGGCAGAGGGCACTGGGAGTAGTGCTGGAGTGTGGGGGATGTGGGGGGGGAGTGGAGAGGGGGCAGGCTGGGCCTGGGCTGTGGGGGGGGGGGACTTAGTGCAGCAACTGGAATGGGGTGGGCTGGGCTGCAGGAGTCTGAGCTCCCCCATTCCTACAGATCCCCCAGACCCTCCAAAGCTGTCAGCCCTCCTGGACATGGGCCAGGGCCACACAGCCATGTTCATCTGCACTGTGGACAGCCATCCCCTGGCTCAGCTGTCCCTGTTCCATGGGGAGCAACTCCTGGCCACCAGCCATGGACCCCAGCTCTCATCCCATGGTAGGCTCCAGACCAAGGCCACCACCAACTCCCTGCAGCTGGAGGTCCGAGAACTAGCCCTTGGGGACTCTGGTCAGTACCACTGCGAGGCTATAAATGTTCTGGGATCAGCCAACACTTCACTCTTTTTCCACGTCCGAGGTAAGTGTGTGTCCTTTGATAATGGTAGACCCTGATACCAGGGGTCTACTTGGTCAGATGTTGGGCTGCATTTGTGCTGTAGATTTTGCACAGAAATGAGAATCTTTCTTATTTCCAACCAGCCAGCCTTCCTTTGCCTCTTGGTAGATATTTTTGCCTGTAACATCTGCAGCAGCCACTACGGGAGCAGTAGCTGTTGTGCAAAGTGGCTAGTTTGATTAGCACACTTCAACATAACTTGTTAATAACATAGTTTTGTTATAAGTATAGTAAAAATTCTTATACAAAGCCTAGTATACACGTATATTGTGCATATATATGCATGAATGCATATGCATATACATACTGTATTCATATTTTTCTCTACAAAAATTCTCCCTGAGCAAATAAGCAAGGAAAAAGGAAAAGTAATGGTCATAAAGTGAAGGTCAAAGAAAAATGGATGCTTCCTTTTCCATAATGACTAGCAGCAGTGAGTTTTGGAACTTTTACTTTGAACCTTCATTCTATATATCATTTCTTATTTATTATACCCATTCAAAGGGAGAGAAATTGAGGGGCAGAGTCTTTCTCAGGAGCTCACTTGCTGGCACCTGACCTGCAGGCCCTGCTAACTCTGGATTAATGTGGCTTGGGTCCCCGCATGGCCTGTGCTCTTGGTTTCTATACAGCCACTTGTTTGTCACTCTTGACCCTCATCTCCTGCTCCAGAGCTGGGGACTGACAAGGACTTGCCCTTGCCCACTTCCCAGTGCCTGGGCTTTTGTATCCTGGCGGTAGGTGCAGAGTGGGCTGGAGAGGAAAGAAAGTCTCACAGCTGCCAACCTGTTCCTCAAACCCTCTGCCACCTGTACTATTCATAGTCAGGACGATGGCCCTCAGCTTTACCTAAACCATTCTTATTTCAGCTCTTTAAAGGTCAAACCAATATTTGTCAAAACCTCATACATGCAAGCACTGTGCCTGAGACTAGAGCTCCAGGCCACACGAGCCGGGTTCCCATAGACTCAGCCTCCCACCGGTGGGATGTGATTGGTAGAGCAAAACCATAACTTCCGGAAGTGGGTGGTAAGTGCCAGGTAGGACAGAGCTGGTATAAATGGATTGGGAGCAGAGACATGAAGCTGAAGCTGGGGATTGGTCTGGAGAGGAGCCTTCAGGGACACGGGTTTGGGATCACAGAGTCCTATGCAGCCACGCGTGCAGCTCCAGACTGCTGGAGCTGTGATGCCAAGTCTACACCTGCCTCGGTTTCTCCCTACAGGAGCCTGGGTCCAGGTCTCACCATCCCCTGAGCTCCAGGCAGGCCAGGCCGTGGTCCTGCACTGTCAGGTGCCCACGGGGGTCCCCGAGGAGGCCTCGTACCTCTGGTTTCGGGATGGCCAGGCCCTCCACGAGTCAACCTCAGCCACGCTGTGCATTGCAGCCATAACTCCGAAGCAAGCTGGTGCCTACCATTGCCAAGTTCAGGCCTCAGGCTCAGCCACCAGCCTGGCTGCCCCCATCAGCCTGCATGTGTCCTGTAAGGGCGTGTCCCACCCATAGGTGGGGAGGGGGTGCATTCCCTGGTCCTGGGCTCTGTGACCATAATAGGGGTGAGGGACCCCGGCCAGGCCCTGACCACTCCTCACCCATGCAGATGCCCCACAGCAGGCCACACTCACCACCCTGATGGACATGGGCCCAGGACGACTGGGCCTCATCCTGTGCCATGTGGACAGTGACCCTCCAGCCCAGCTGCGGCTGCTCCACGGAGACCACCTGGTGGCCTCTACCCTGCAAGCTGTGGGGGAAGATGCAGGCAGCGATGCCCGGCTACGGGTGTCCATGACCCCCAACACACTTCGGCTGGAGATCCACAACACAGTGCTGGAAGACGAGGGCGTCTACACCTGTGAGGCCACCAACACCCTGGGGCAGGCCTCAGCTTCAGCTGACTTTGATGCCCAGGGTCAGTGTGTGTGTGTGTGTGTGTGTGTGTGCACCCTGGAAGAGAGGAGAGCAGATGAAAAGGCAAAGCCACTGAGCTACATCCCCAGCTCTTTTTATTTTTTGAGACAAAATCTTTCTTGTTTTTCTCTTTTTTTTTAATGCTACTAGAGATTGAACTCAGGGATATTCTACCACTGAGCTACATCCTCAGCCAGATTTTATTTTATTTTTGTTTTTGTTTATTTTTTGAGACAGTCTCACTATGTAAGCTGGCCTCATATTCACAACGATCCTCCTGCCTCAGCCTCCCAAGTGCTGGCATTACAGATATGCACTACCACACCTGGATTTATATTTATATTTACTTTATTTATTTATTTATTTATTTATTTGGTATTGGGGATCGAACTCAGGATCTTGCACTTGTGAGGCAGGCAAGGAGCCACTGAGCTAAATCCCTGGCTACATTATTTTGAGATAGTCTCACTAAGTTACCCAGTCTGGCCTTGAACTTTTGATCTGCTTGCCTTAACCTCCTCAGTAGCTGAGATTACAGACATACACAATCATGCCCAGCTAGAAGAGCCCTTTATAAACACAGAATTTTCCATGGATGCCCTGCTGATAAACTAATCAGAAAGTGTATATCAAGGAGAAATCAAAGGGACATAGGGAGGCCTTGTTCTCCCTATTTGCTGCCACCAAGGCAGGGAGGGGCTCAGGACTCTCCAGGGCTCTGCTTGGGAGCACCCAAGAGACAATGAGGGCCTTTTGTGGGGCGTCCTGAGCCTCACAGAGCCCCAGGGGCTCCCCCGCAGAAGGGTGACTCGCCCGCATGGAGACAGCTGGCCTGCTTTACACAGCATCAGGCCCTCACGGGTGTCCTTCTCTCCCCAGCTGTGAGTGTGCAGGTGTGGCCCAAAGCCACCGTGAAGGAGGGGCAGCAAGTGAACCTTACCTGCCTCGTGTGGGCCACCCACCTGGCTCAGCTCACCTACATATGGTATCAGGACGGGCAGAAACGCCCAGGTGCCCGCTCCATCTCCCTGCCCAACGTCACACTTATTGATGCTGCCTCCTATCGCTGTAGTGTGGGGTCCCCTGGACAGGCACCCCGCCTCTCCACACCTGTCACCCTGGATGTCCTCTGTGAGTCTGATTGGATGCATGGTGGGGTTCAAAACATGGTCAGAGCCCCATAGCTGTCCAGGACTCCATACAAAGCCAATGGAGCACTGGACCAGGGGCATTGGTTTAGGGGAAATGATAGCTCCTCTCTGGGCAGAGGTGCAGTTGGGGTGGGGAGCCAGGGTCCTCCTGGGTTCCAGTGTCACCCTCAAGGTCCTTAGATGCCTTCTGGGCCCCTGCAGATGCTCCCCGCAGCCTACGCCTGACCTACCTCTTGGACAGCCATGGTGGCGGGCAGCTGGCCTTGGTGCTGTGCACAGTGGACAGCCGTCCACCTGCCCAGATGGCCCTCAGCCGCGCTGGCCGCCTCCTGGCCTCCTCATCCACAGCCTCTGTCCCCAACACCCTGCGCCTGGAGCTGCAGGAGCCGCGGCCCAGTGACGAAGGGCTGTACTGCTGCTCAGCCCACAGCCCTCTGGGCCAGACCAACACTTCCCTGGAGCTGCGGCTGGAGGGTGAGGCGAGCCAGGCCTGGGCTGTGGGAATCAGCTGCAGTGTCTGGCTGGGCTGGGCTGACGCTGGCCTCCTCAAATCAGGTGTACGGGTGACACTGGCTCCATCAGCTGCTATCCCTGAGGGAACCTCCGTCACAGTGACCTGTGAGGACCCTGCTGCACGCCCACCCATACTTTATTCCTGGTACCACAATGGCCGTTGGCTGCAGGAAGGGACAGCTGCCTCACTTAAGTTCCTGAGGGCCACACGGGCTCACACGGGTGCCTACTCCTGTCAGGTCCATGATGCCCAGGGCACACGCACCTCCCGGCTGGCCTCCTTGCAAGTCCTCTGTGAGCAGGAATTCTTGGCTGGGATGAGGGTGGAGGAGGGCGCTTCTGGGCTCCAGTGAGGGTGGGGAGGGAATGCAGTGGGCCTGGGAATGGGCACTTGGGGAGCAAAGGACATAGGGCTCCTGCCTGGAAGACTCTGCCCATAGAATCCTTGGAAGGTGTCACTTCTAGGAGATGACCATTTGTCTAGAGGCTCCAGCCTTGCTACCATCAGGTCGGGGGAGGCATGGGAGATACAGGGTGCCTAGACAAGGCCCCTGCATGTGCCCTGTCCCCCAGATCCTCCCCGAGATGCTGTCCTTTCTTCCTTCCGCGACTCCAGAACCAGCCCCATGGCCATGGTACAGTGCACTGTGGACAGTGAGCCACCTGCTGAGCTAGCTCTGTCCTACAATGGCACAGTGCTAGCCACCAGCCATGGACTCCATGACTCAGTATCTGAGACTGGTGACATCCAGGTGGCCCGCAATGCCCTGCGGCTGCAGGTGCCAGATATGCCTGCAGATGATGACAACACCTATGTTTGCATGGCCCAAAATTTGCTGGGCTCAGTCAGTACCACCTGGAAGCTACAGGTGGAGGGTGAGTGGGAGAAGGGAGATAAGGGGGCTCGGGTGCTGTGAGGCCAGGGCCTTTGTGAGGGGCTAGGGATCCCACTAGAGGGTCCAAAGGGTCACAAGATAGCCCTGCCCTGACAGGCCAAATCTGATGGCCCACATCACTGGAGGGGTTGCCCAGCCTGGGGAAAGATGTGGCTTCACCCCGAGAGATCTTCTTGTGAGGGACAGCAGGTGTCACAGTGCTAAAGGGAGCTGGGCTGAGGCAAGACAGAACCCTGCCATCATGGAACCCAGTCTGGGGTGGGGAGAGAAGCAGAGCCCCACTTTCAGCCTCATCCATCAGATCCGCTAGTCTTACGAGGGAAGCATGGCCTGTCCTGGGAGCTCTGTTCCCGGATGCAAAGCAGCCCTCTTCTTACTCCCAGTCTGAGGGAAAAGACTCAGTCCTACCTTGGGGGGCCAGGCCCCAAGACAGGCCAAGACATCTGGACACTGCACAGGACAATTGAGCCCTGACCACCTGCCCGTCCTTGGTCTGCAGGTGTGCGCGTGGTGGCTGAGCCAGGCCTGGAGGTGCCTGAGGGCACCGCGCTGAACCTGAGCTGCCACCTCCCTCATTCTCCTGGGCTCATGGGCAACTCCACCTTCACATGGTTCCAGAACGGCCGGCCACTGCACACACATCCCATGCCCACTCTGACCTTCAGCCATGTGGGCCGTGCCCAGTCTGGGCTGTACCACTGCCAAGCAGAGCTGCCCTCTGGAGCCTCGGCCTCTGCTCCAGTCATGCTCCGAGTGCTCTGTGAGTGTGACACCCCCTGCCTCAGTCTCCCTGCCTCTCTAGTGCCCATCTCAGGTTTTCCCCCTCTGTCTGCAAAGAGCAAGGGCTTCACAGGCTTGGAGCACTGGATCAGAATCCCAGGGCTCCCACCTGCTGGTTGTTTGCCCTGTGCATCTGTGTCTTGGTTCCCTCACTTGTGAAATGGGGACCATGTCAGCCCCTCTACTCTTGGGAGGAGCACAGGAGATAATCACAGAATGCCTGATACACAACAGGCTCTCGTTGGCCATTTCTCACATTCTAGTCCCCCAGAACCCATGCCTCATCAGCCAGCTACTGCTGTGTAACAAGCCACCCCCAACTCACAATTCTATGGGTCTGAAATTTGGGCTAAGTTCAGCTGGGAAGTTCTTCTTCTGGTCTTACCTCATGTGGCTGCAGTTGTCCAGTGGCTCCACTGAGATTGGATGGTCAAGATGGCCTCACCTTTGTGGTGGGTCTGATCTTCCAACACAGTCACATTCAGGAAGCAGAGTGGAAGCAGCAAGCCCTTTTAGGTCTAGCTCTGAAGTCTTATAATATCACTTCTGCAATCAGTGGTCAAAGTGAGCCATAGTCCCCAGGGTAAGGAAATAGACTCCACCTCTTCACTGGAGGTGCAGCAGCCATGGTGAACAGGGTCAGGGAGGGAGGGATTTGTGGGCATTTCCCTAAATCATCACACTCTTTTTCTCCCCACAGACCCGCCCACGACGCCCACCATGACAGTCTTTGTGGAGCCTAAGGGTGGCCTCCGGGGGATCCTGGACTGCCGAGTGGACAGCCAGCCCCTGGCCAGCCTGACCCTCCACCTCGGGAGCAGACTGGTGGCCTCCAGCCAGCTGCAGGGTGCTCCCACAGGGTCGCACATCCATGTCTCAGCCTCCCCTAATGCCCTGAGGGTGGACATGGAGGCTCTAAGGCCCAGAGACCAGGGGGAATATGTGTGTTCTGCCTCCAATGGCCTGGGCTCTGCTTCTGCCTCTGCCTACTTTGGGGTTTCAGGTGAGGGGAGGGGCACCTTCTCCTAGGCCTCTGTGCTGCCTCTCCCAATCCCTTCTGCCATGACATGGCCTGTTTACCTGGTCTAAACTGGCCTCTTGGAGCTTCCTGCATAGGGGGCTTTGAGATGAAGTGGAAGGGTCACCTTGGGAGGGAGCCCTGGAGGCCCAGAGACATGGCTCCCCTCTGAGTGCCTCCTCTGTGTTCCAGCCCTGCACCAGCTGCATTTGTTCCAGTGGCTCCTTTGGGTGCTGGGACTACTGGCTGCCTTCCTGTGCTTGCTGTTAGGCCTGGGGGCCTACTATGTCTGGAGGTGGGTCTGGGTCATCCCATCCCTTTCCCTCCAGCACCCCCACATCCTTTGGGGGAACCTCCCACCTACCAAGTTCATAGACTGCTACTCCTCCCAATGTGGGAATTCCCCTAGAATTGCATCTACATCCATCTTTCTGTAGCTTTCTTCTTTCCTCCTCCCTACCCTGTCTGTGTTGTAGAAACGAATAGGGAGGAAGAAAATGAGGTGCTCCGGACAGTGGGTATCCTGGGGCCAGGATGGGTGAGGGGAGGAAAGGAGGAGAGGAGCCTCTGAGTCTGCTCTTGACTGTGCAGGAAGCGTTCTCAAAATTTGAACACAGGCAGGAATTTGTTGGAGATGGACTTCCCCAATGGACACCATGCAGGTAAGCACTCTACACACATGGGCACATGTAGGCATAACACTAGCCTGCTCACAGTGCCCAGCTAGCATCTGGGATGATGCTTGGGACCAGGGAGAGGTTGGAGAGGAAGTCCAGGAAGCCAAGACCCCACTAGAGTGAGAGAGAGAGCTGTGTTCTGCTCAGGGCTGGCTGCATGACTTTCTGGTCTTAGCAGCATCACTCCCAGGTCCAAGACACACTTTCTGATTCCTTTTCCTCTGTTTTGAGTTCTTCAACACTCCTGAGCCTGCCTGTCACCTGGGCAGGGGCGAAAGTGTGCCCTCTCTGCAGATGACTGAACTGGGGGCCCAGAGGCAGAGCTCCAGCTGTGCATACTCCCATCAATACCCTTGGGACCTTACCTAGGGTGGGGTGGGGCACATGGGAGATCATGGTTGTCCCCACAGTCTTCCTGTGACCAAGGCTTTCTTTGTGGGAAGCTTATTAAGCCTGCCACAACCATGTGTGGGACTTCATCCTGTGCTCAGCCACTGAGCTGACAGGTGGCACTGCCTGCCCTCAGGAGGAGAAGGAGGAGGAGACTGACAAACGAGGCACCATGAAGCAGGCAGCTCTGAGTCCTGCCTACCTCTTCACAAGCAGCATGGTGACTTCTGACTTTTGAAGATTTGACTCCAAGCCTTTTGCCCCCAAGAAAAATGGGTGGTGAGAGGTGGGGGAAGCCTTTATTTACCCAGGAGGGTGCTGACTCAAAGGGACCCTCAACAGAACTGAGTTGATCTTGTCATCCACTTTTCTCTCTGCTTCTATCTTTTCTCTGGATCTCCTCTTCTCTCTCCGTCTCTCTTCCAAAGGAGGCACTGACCCTGAACATCTTTCTCCTCAAACCACATGCCAGACCTTTGGATGATTAGAATAGAAGGGTGTCTGTGTCCTCATAGCTTTGCCAGGGAGACCAAATACAGTGGCTTCAACATGATAGAATTTTATTTTTCTTTCTACTACTAGTCTGGATATGCTATGGCGGTGTAAGCTGTTGGGGCTAAGGCTCCTTCTATCTTACTTTTCTCCATCCCTAAAATATTGCCTTTGATAGTGAGATTCACAATGGCCCCACTTCCCTCCATTCAGAAGAGGGCAGAATGAAAGTGGAAGGAAGGTACATCCATTCCCATTGTGCACACAACCCAGAAGGTGCATAAGTCAGTTCCACTCCCTTCCCCTTAGCTGGAGTTTGCTCACGTGGCCACACCAACCTATAAAGGAGACTGGAAATGACGTTTTTATTCTGAGCCCAGAATCTATTTGGAAGTTCTGTTTCCAAAGGGCTATGGAGTCGAACCTGGGACCTTGACATTGACAGGAATGCCATTGCCAGGCCATGACCTGTCTCAGTATCCCTGGCCTTTCTGGTCTGGGCTTTCTGGAAGAGATAGTAAGTCCCTCCCACACAGTAACACTAAGGAAACCAAGAAGCTTGGTGGTCCCCAGGGTGAGGGCCTGATCATTGGGCCAGACCTGTCCCTTGGAAGAAAAGGTGCCCTATATCCATGCTCTCCACCTCCACCCCAGGAGCTGGGCCCAGCTTTAACAGCCTTTCAAATGTGAAGAACAAACACAAATGTGCTTAGCATCCCTGGTCTTGCTCTGAGTGCATCCTTCTCCAGGATGGAATGAGATCCTGTCATTTTCCTGGATTTCCACAAAACAAGGGCTGTTAAAGCAAATGAGGGTAACCAAGAAGGAATAAAGTACTCCTGGGAAATCAGGGACTGGGGGAGCTGGTTCTTGAGTGGCTGGTGACTCACCTTGTAGCCTGGTAGCAGATGATGGGAGAAGCAAAGGGCCTGCAGCTCTCAGATCTGGTCTGAGAAACAGGGAAAGTAATGGGGCATTGGTATAGGAGCTAACAGGCTGAGAAGAAATTGGAGGCCAGGTGAGCATTGTGTAGCTGAGGCTTCACCCTCCCTCATTCCGATTCCCATTTCTCGTTATGCCTGATTGCCACACTCCTCCTGGAGCCTGTCCAGCATGTCCTTCCAATAAACTTCCATCCTATGATGCAACTAGAGTGAGTATTTCTTGCAAACCAAATTTCTGGGATAGAACACAAAGGATTCAAAAATTAATGGGTTTGTTCTGGGGAACATCTGCAAGAGGTGGCCAGGGAGTGTAAATCACATGACATTATCATAAAGTGCCTTCTGCTGAAGCAAGTGTGTCCTTTCCTGCTCCCTAAGACTCTAATTGTGTGTTGCTCAGACCAGTACAGCACTTGCACACACTAGGTGACCACTTGTTTCTTCTACCTTGTTGTTGAGTGGGAAGGTGGAAACCTTGGGTTAAACCCAAGGGTGGGACAGAGACAGAGCAAATTAAATGTAGTCAGATATGGAGGCTGTCTGGAGAAGAGAGTAAGAAGGGAGAATTGCAGATGGCCATGGAAGAGGATTTGGGGACATGTGGAGTCTTCATCTGTATCTGTATCCCTTCCAGGCGATGTATGTCCACCTTGGGTTGGAGGGAGCTCAGTTGGGTCCTTTGTCTGAAGGCCTCCTAGACTTTTGAAATAAACTTGTAATTGAAGTGTAACATATAGAAAAGTGCACACATTATAAGTGTGTATAGTTCAATGACTTTTCCAAAAGTAAACAACCATGCTCCCAGCACAGATCAAGAAACAAACTGTAGTGTCAAAAAAAAAAAGAAAAAAACAAACTGTAGTGTCACCAGAGACCCCCCTCAAGTTCTCTCCCAGTCGCAGTCCCCCAAGGGCTGCTACTATCTTGACTTCTAACACCATAGATTGCTTTTTCCTGCTTTTGAACTTTATATAAATGGCACTGTACAGTATGTATGACAACTTTGGGAAACAACCTGAGAATATCTACTAAAGCTGAAACATTTCTATGACCCTGACATTCCACCCCTGGGTATTTACTCAAGAAATGAGAGTTTATGTCACTGTAAGACTAGTATGAGAATGTTCACAGCAATGGTACCTATCAGAGCCAGAAATAGAGACCATGATACACAATAGCAGTAGAAAGGCAATATAAACTGTGCTTTGTTCCCACAATGGAATGTTACAGGACAATGAACAAGAGCTATGACTTTAGACAATGGTACAGGTAATGTTTCAAACACAGTGTTCAGGGAAAGGAGTCAGAGGCTAAGAGCCTTTGGTTTGGGAGGATGACTGCTCAGCACCCTCTCCCAGGTTGTGAAGAAGACACAAGTTTCCAGGCACCGTGGAGCTCTGGGTCCAGGGAGAGAGGAGGTGAACAACTATGATCCTCCATGAGGATCACGCATGGTGGGAAGTATTGTGCAGAGATGGCAGCCTGGCTTTGGGTCGGGAAGGGCCCCTGAACGAGGAGACATCTCTCTGCTTCGTGGATGCCATGGTTGAACAGCTTTGCTCTGCCAGGCCCTTCCACCAGGCCCTCTCTGCCTTGGAGCCAGATGACCATACACTGAAACCATGAGCCATGAGCCATGAGCCTCCTTTAAGTCGTGAGTGTCAGGTATTTTGTTCCAATAAGGGGAAAGTAGCTAATACACTGAGGCTACCATTGTATACCACACAACGTTTCAGTCAGTGATGGATTGTATGAACAGTCCCATAAGATTCTAATGCAGCTGAAAAATTCCTGTCACCTATTCTACGTTTAGGTATGTTTAGAAACAGAAATACTTTCCATTATGTTTCAATTACCTGCAGCATTCCCTACAGGAACATGCTGGACAGGGCTGTAGCTTGGGAACAATAGGCTCTACCATCTATAGAACCAACTAGGTTCAGTAAGCGCACACTCTGTTTTGTTCTCTCTCTCTCTCTCTCTCTCTCTCTCTCTCTCTCTCTCTCTCTCTCTCTCACACACACACACACACACACACACACACACACACACACACACACACAGAACTGGGCACTGAACCAAAGGCCTCATGCACACTAGACAAGCACTTCACTACTGAGCTATTTCCAGTCTTCTAAAAAAATGTTTTTGAGGGCCAGGGATTTAGCTCAGTGGTTCTGCCTTCTGCCTTGTGTTTGTTTTGTTTTTTAAATTTTAAAGCAGGTTCTAAGTTGCCCAGGCTGATCTCAAACTTGGGCTCCTTCTGCCTTGTCCTCTTGAGTGGCTGGGATTACAGGTGTGCACTATCATGCCTGGCCAATGAAATCTCTAGATGAAATATTTCTCAGAATAAACCCCGTCTTTAAGCAAGACATGACTGTTTTTTGACACACAGAACAGTGTAAATGAATCTCAAAAAAGTCATAAAGGGGGAAGAAAGCCAGACAGAAGAGTGTATGCTGTATAATTCCATTTATATGCACAGGCAAAACGCACCTATGGACAAAAACAATCAGTAATTGTCTGGGGTTGGGAATAGGAGAGTCTTGGGAAGGGGCAAAGGCAGCTTTTGGGGAATGATGGAAATGAATCACACTGTGGTGATGGTTATATTGGTATATACAATTATTAAGCTCATTTAACTATACTTACATGCAATTTATTGTATGTACATGATATCTTAATAAAACTGTTTTTGGAAGTTGATTTAAACCCTAAACTAATAATTAAGAATAATAAAAACAACAGTAATGAGGACCTTTTAAATGCACTGATACCCAAAGTGAGTTAAGTAAACAGAAAAGTCAAGGTGTAGAAAAATGTTAATGAGAGGAAAAAGAAAAAGTATTGTCTTGGGTCTCTATAGAAGTCTAAAAGCCTATGCAGGAAATGAAACGTTACTCCTGTGGGGAGTGGCAATTGAAAGGATAGAGACTGAAGAGATAGGAAGACTTTTCCCTACGCATTTTATTATACTTTTTAAAAAAAATTCAGAATGGGTTTTGCTTTACTGCCCAGGCTGACCCAGAATTCCTGGGCTGGAGTGATCTTCCTGCCTTGGCCTCTAGAGTAGCTGGGACTGCCGATGGGATTCCACAGTGCCACACTGTCAGGCTTTCTGATGTTTGAATCACATTAGTGTAGGCTTCTCTCACTGTTGAACCTTTTTTTGTTTTTTTCTGAACTTTTTACTAACCGAATTACTAATTCCAAATTCTCAGGAACAAACAGATTTGCTTAAAAATTAACATCCCTCCCTATCAGAATATTTTGTACCTAGTACTCAAACAAACAAGGCTTTATAACACGAAACAGATGTTACTAAGACCGAAAGTCTCCCCTTGCCGGGGAGTGTGTGGCTCTGTACAATCCTGACCTCCTGCCAGGCCCTACCTCCTGGGCCTGTCCCGCCTCATCTCCCTTTTCTGGAACCGAAGCCCCAAGGACGGCGGGCCTTTGCTCTCCCCATCCACACGGGCTGGTGGCCACAGCCGCTGGAGACAGCGGCACCTGACAGCCTCCTTCCCGGGGGGCACTCAGCGCGGGTGGATGACCCCTTGCTGGGTCTCCCTCTGAGCAGGACGGGGGACAGAAGTGGTCCCAGGAGATCGCGCAGGGGCTGCTCCCAGCCCTGGCCTCGGCCTCAACCCCCACCCCTGTGGTCCTCTAAGAACCTTCCCCGCGGTCCCCGCCCCGTCCCGTCCCACCCTCTGCTCTGCAAGTGCTGGGTGCTGCCCCGCCCGCTCCAACCTCCTTCTCCCCGGCGCTGGTCGGGTCGGTCTGGAGGGCCAGGTCTGACCGTGAGGCGTTGGCGTTGGCCGGACTGGCTGCGCCGGACGTGGGGCCGCCTCCATCCAGCCAAGGCGGAGCCGGCAGCCGGCGGCCAGGGGCTGGAGGCCCAGGCGCTTCCAGCCATGGGCAGGGGCTCGCTGAGAGCTCCGGGATTGGCGGTGCCGCGGTGGCTGCTGTCACTACTGCTGCTGTCTCGGGGGCCAGTGTCTGGCGCTTGGTTGCTTCCAGGTGAGGCTGCGGGCAGGTGGGTGGCAGAGGTGGGGATGGGTAACCCCCGGGTCAGGGCCAGCACATGAAAGGTCTCAAGCCCAGGCACCGCCTGAGCAGGAGGACCGGGCACCGAAAGGATTTGTGTGGGCACCCATGAGACCTGGTCGGGAGGCTCATGGCTTGGGCTGGCATCAGGCCATCTCGCCCACATTTCCCCCCAGCACCACCAGGGTAAAGCAGGAGGCAAGGTGGCCTCCCAGCAGCTGCCCAGCCCCAGAGCCTGCTGCCTGGAGTCTCCAGTGTCACGACCCACAGGGTGGACACTTCTCAATCTCCAGGGCCCAGGGCCAGCAGGTCTCCTCCTCCAGACCCACTGAGCCTCTTGCGTCCTGTGCTGCCCGCAGCTCCCTCTGTCCCAGGGCTCCTTACCTTCCCCGGCCGGGCCGCATGCATACTGTTTATAGAGTTGCCTTGTTTGGTTAGACAGACAAGGACTTCTCCAGACAGGGTCTGCTTGGCAGTGCCTGCTAAGCCTGCAGCTCTCTTCCAGGGGAGCCTCCCTGAACTCCCAGCAAGGTGGGGCCGCTTGGTGGGAGGATTTGCCAGATCTTCTGTCGCAAGTCCCTGGCAGGAGGGCAGAAAGGGCACCCAGGGAGGAGGCATGGAGGCCTGTGCTGGGCAGGCAGCTGGGCGGGTTGCAGTTGCACAGCTGTGTTGGGGACCATAGGTAGGGGCACCTGATCTGCTCTGGCCTGGAAGGGGAAGGTGACAGATACCATGCCTTTGGGGACCATTCCTAGACATCCCACTGCTCTATACCCTCAAAGGTCTAGCCTGGGGCCAGGGGGTGGGATGGGACTCCTGGGAGAGAGGGGCTCTATGCTCCCCAACCCAGACTGAGCCCTTTGACTCCTCTCCTTGGGCCCGGAACTCAGCTCCATCTCTGTCCCTATGCCACGGTGCCAGTGGGCAGCAAGCGTGTGCAGGGCCACACCGTACCCACACCCTGTGTCCTCGGAGGCTTGGGCTAGCAAGTCCTGGCTCTCCACACCCAGTTAAGCCCTCTCTGGGGTCAGCTATCACCTCTTTCCAGACCCGGTCGTAGTCTCTCACACTAGTTCCTTCAGCCTCTGTAGCAAGGCAGTGGGCTGTAGCCCCCTTCCCCCACCTGCCTGATGTCAACTCAGTCATCAATTAAGCAGGGCTCCTTGCGGGGCAGGGAACTCCTGCAACTATATCACTCCAGATCTTCCATGCCTGAGGTCTGGAAGAGGAGGTGCAGGAAGAAGGAGTTGAGGGGGGGACCAGGAGGGGCTGGACCCCCTCCACAGGTGGCCATCCACATGGGTAGGTCTGGGCTCAGCGTTGGGCAGTGGGTGGGCAGCTGTCTTTCCTGGGAGCCAGGCTTGCTCCAGGAACCAAGTGGCAGAGGGGTGGGAGGGCTGGTTGCAGGCTCCTACTGGGTTGGTTGTGAGAATGGGTGGGGGAGAGCAGGAGCACTGCAGATCCCTCTGAGCAATGTTTGGCTCTGGCATTCCTCCTAGAGACCCCCAGGCACAACCTGGCTGGAAGGACTGAGGCTCTGTGCCCTGGGTCCCCCTCTCTTTGAACACAAAAGCAGGGGCTTCTGGGCCTGGGTCCTCAGAAAGGGGAGGTCCTCCCAAGGGGAGCCCTGTACAAAGTGGACTCCCAAGACAACATCTGGCTGTTTCTCTCCGATGGTTGAAGAGACAGAGGCAGCCTTCTGGCAGATCGCTCACCCTAAAGGCATCTACTGCCTAGTCTAAAAATACCCATAGCTGCCTCCTCCCACCCCTCCCCTCTGTACTGGGCGCCTGGTCCTCTTTCTTGTGACCTCCGACCACAAGCCTGCCCCCCAAGGTCAGGCAGCTCCCAGATCCCTGGCTTAGCTCTTCCTTCCCAGGCTCTTGTCTCTCTCTGCCCCTCACTGGTGGCTTCTCAGGTCCAAGGATGTCCCACGAGTGCCTGCCTGTCCCTAGGCTGAGCCCAAAGCATTGGGGATGGAGCCTGCCCCTCAGGGCCTCCCATGTCTCTGTCCCTGACCCTCTGCTCTCCCTACTCCTCCCTGCTCCTCAAGCCACTCTTACTCTATGCTGTCCTCACTGCAGGAAATACTTCTGGAGAGCCAGTCACCACCCCCTGGGTCCTGGATGGACAACCCTGGCTCACCATCGTCCTGAAAGAGCCGGTCAGTGCCGTTACCCCATCCTCTGAAGGGGTCTGGGGTCTCCCAGCCCCATTGCCCTTCCCTCAATGGTAGCTCAGCAATTTTCTGCCCCTCTCCCTGGGTGGGCAGGCAGGGCAGAGTGGAGAAGCAACTAGAAGGCAAGAGCCTGCACACATGGAAATCATTTCCAGCACCCTCCCTCTCCCCCTCCCCTCCCTCTTCCCTGAATTATTCAGACTACCCCACCCCCACCAGGCAGAGATGACCCAGAGTTGGGGGGGCCTGAGGCTCTTCAGGAGCCTCTTTAAAAAGACACCGAAATATCTTCCTTTGGCTGAGTTTACCAGAGCAGATGACCCCATGACCACACTATTGTCCCTCCCAGGGCCCTGCCATTGAGGGTCCTGAAACATCAGCCTCATTGCCTCCTGTGGAATCCACCTGTAGCCAGAGGCAATGGTCACTCTCTTGTGCCCCTAGATACCAGCCCACTCCATTTTGCTTCCTCAGAACATCTGCCCTGCCTCCTCTCAACTCCTACCCATCATATGCTTCCACAGTAACCGCGCCCCCTCTGTTCAGGCCATAGCATCTGCACTGCAAACAAAGAAGCCAGTAGCCTTGGTGTGCCCATTTCACAGAGGGGCAAACTGAAGCCTAGAAAGGTTGGAAAATTGCCCACAGACACACAGCTCTTTGGGCCCAGAAGCCTGAGACCTGCTGAAGCCTGAAAGCACTCAGTTCTGCATTTCCAGGGAAGATAGCACAGCCCCACTGTCCCAGCAAAGACTGGAGAGTCCTGCTATGAAGACTGGGGGCCCCAAACTAGGGCCTTCACTGGGGATCTTCAGACCTCCAGGGCCCCCACTCAACTGGTCTGTGCTTTGATATCCTTCTGGACATCTGTGGCAGAGGGGTAGGCTGGCACATGCTGGGATCACCTAAAATGTGGGCCTCTCTGTCTGACCTGGGCTGTGACCCAGAGGAGAATCCTAGAGAGCCTGCTTCGCCAACTCTGGCCTTTGTCCTCAGGAAGCTTGCCAGGAGAGGAAAGCCAGGCAGAAGACAGGTTCGGCAGGGCATCCTCTAAAGACAGGACACTCACATTTCAGGAGGGGGATGCTCACATGGGGGGGGGGGCGCTTACCAGGAAGGCAAGAAGAGAAGGCTGCAGGGGCTGCAGAGGGACAGGGACCTCAAGTGTGGCCTACCATCTGAGCCAGTGCCCTTCTCCTAGTGCAAAGTTTTTCCAATAAACCAGTGACATTCCAGCCGCATGAGCTCATGCATGGGCCTTGCAGGGACTGGCTGGGGAAATGAGGGCTGTCTGCTCCCCACCTGCAAGGGAAGCCCTCCCCTGACTCTGAGCCCCCTGGCCTGGGTCACAGCCCAGTGCATTTTAGGATAAAAAGGGGAGGGCCAGCCAGGGTGGGGGCAAACATTCCAAAGATACAGCAGCCCCCCTTCAGGAATCTCCTGAGGTGGTTCCAACTCTGGGCCCTCCCCACAGGCTGAGTGAACAAGGTGGGGAAGATGAGGTGCTCCCATGAGGAAGAAGTGGCAAAGAGTGTGGGGAGAAGGCCTTGGTGATTTCTAGGGGTGAAAGACTGCGATGGGGTCCATATTTACTCTGTGAGCTCAGGTGTGAGGCAGGCTTGCTGGAGCCATGAAAAACTGGAGGAGAGGGCAGTTTGCTAGAATCAGAGGTGGACGAATAAAGTCTGCATTCTAGAGGGAATGAGTGCCAGCAAGAGACAGACACAGGGGGTGGGGCTGTAGCTCAGTGGTAGAGCACTTGCCCAGCATATGTGTGGCCCTAGGTGCCGTCCCCAGCACCTCAAAAAAAAAAAAAAAAGATACAGAAACAAGTTCTCTCATAGCACAGAGGCTATAAGGAGGCCTGAGCTACACGACGTCCCTCATAATGATGCCCTTTGGACTCCACTGTCTTCCTCACCTGCTCATGCCTTTTCTGCGCACAAAAGAAGAGGGCAGGCCAAGGGGAAGGCCCAGTAACTCTGGGAAAAGCTGGGTGCCTTTCTGGGCCTCCTTGTCTCTAGGGAGGACATGGCACACCCCTGACACTCTATGTTTATGCACTTTATGTGACTGTTGTCACAGCAACAAACAGTCCAAGTTTGGGAACATCTTTAGATGTTCTCATCCCATGCCTGTCTGTGCCCTCCATGACTCCACATGACTCACAGGCCTGCCATGCCTGTGAACTTTCTCAAGAGCCAGCTCCACATCCTCCTGCTCCCATCACAGCCTGCACTCACTTCTTTTTACCTAGATCTCGACACTAGACTCAGGCCTGGTGGCCTTGGAAGCTGAAGGCCAGGAGTTCCTGCTTGAGCTGGAGAAGAACCAGTAAGTACCAGGCTGTGGTGTGGCTGAAGTCAAGAAGAACTGATGTGGATCCCTGAGGTAGGCTGAAGAAAAAGGGGACTCAGAAGGGACTCAGGTGACAGTAGTCACCTCAGCCCATGGCTGGCCCCCTGGAGGCTGAAGTGGACTGTTAAAGCTGGGTGAGCCCCAGGGTGGGCACATTCTATGACCCAACTGTGCAGCAGCTCGGCAGCTTCCTGCTGGAGACCAGTGAGCACCACCTAATGTTGAATCTCAGCTGTTTCCACAGATGGGACAGCACTCCAGGCTAAAGGGACAGAGGGGACAAAGATACAGCAGCAACAAGAATCAAAGCACATTCAGGGCGCCAATGTGCCTAACTGGAGAGTAAACATCTGCAAGGAAGAAAGTGGGAGGAAATGAGTTTAGGGGCCCCAGCAGGGACAGCTCACAAGGAAGGCATTTTAGAGCTGCAGATCCTGGACACACACAGCCAGATTTTGAGCTGGTGAATGAGCAGGTCCATAAGGCTCAGGCTGAGTGAGTGGGTGCCCAGCATGGAGCATGGGGTCTTACGACCATCCAGACTCATTATCCATTGGTATCACTTACTGAGTCTCACGGCAGGCCCTGTTCTGAGCACTGTGTGTTTTATTCTCCCTTGTGGAGTCAGATGCAACTGGAACAAACAAGTTCCACCATGCTTAACCATGGTTTCCAGGGACTCAGTGTCCCTACATACGGAATGGTGCGTGCGTGTGTGTGTGTGTGTGTGTGTGTGTGTCTGCACGGCATGTGTGCACATTCCCACACACAGTGGGGAGCAAGGCTGGAGGAGGTGGAGGAATGATTGGGAGGTGGAAAAGCAGATATCACAGGTCTTTGGGAGTCTGGAGGTAGAGGCCACGGTGAAGTTGGAGCCAAGAATTTTCTTTAAGGAGTGATCAGCTTACAGTTGATCCATCCAGGGGGAAGGGTCCTGAGGACAGAATCATCACTGGAATGAACCTTGAGAAGGTGGGAATGGGAGTCTGTGCTCAAGGGAGCAGGGTAGGAGCAGGTGTGGGCTGTTTCCTCTGGAAGCAGGCAGTGAGCATCATTGAGGGGCATCAGGAGCCGTGTTGGGTCTAGAGGCCTGAGGAGAAGATGTGAAGGAGATGAAAGGGAGGCCTGGGTAGCCAAGAGGTAGACAGCAGGCTTCCGGGCTTCCCCCACAATTCTTTGGCTCCAAGTCCCACCTTCTCAGCAGCATCTCCTGAGCCTTCCCCTCCTGACCTGTTGGCCTAGCTGCCTGCTGCAGGTCCCATGGGAGCACAGGCCCTCCATCTCTTCCTGCTCCTCCCTGGCGCTTCCCCTGCTCCCATCTCCCACATCTAAGCCATCCAGAGGGCTCTTTCTGACCTTCACCTTTCTCTCTCTGAGGGTGCCTCACTCCTAGAGCTGCTCAATTAGCATTCAGGGAGGGAGACTGGGAGGAGGCTGGGCTATGTGAGTGATTCCTAAACATCCTCTCCCAGCAGGCTGCTGGCTGCTGGTTACACAGAAACCCACTATAGCCAAGATGGCCAGCCAGTGGTGCTGGTCCCCAACCACATGGTGAGACACTTCTGTGGGCTCTGAGGACAGGGTGAGGGTGCTGGGGATGGCACCTGGGATAGCTCCTCACGATCCCTACCCCAACCCTCCAACTCCGTTCCTAGGGGAAGTTGGAGCCACCCCTCCCCTCCCCTTCCTGCTCCCGTTCCCTCTTGGCTTCTGCCCTGGCTGAGGTTTGGGCTCAGGTTCCTTCCTCTCCAGGACCACTGTCACTACCACGGGAGAGTGAGGGGCTTCCCCAACTCTTCGGTTATGCTCAGCACCTGCTCTGGGATGAGGTGAGCAGTTCTGGGGCTGGGGCTTGGGCCCAGGATGAGTCCAGAGCTCCCTGACAGCCCACTCTCACCCCTTTCCACCTAGGGGCTTGATCAGGCTCAACAGCAATGCCAGCTATTACCTGCAGCCCTGGCCACCTGGAGACCCAGAGGACCTCTCAACCCACAGGACTTTCCGGATGGAGAGGCTGCTCACCTGGAAAGGGACCTGCAGCTACAGTGACCCCGAGGACAAAGGGGGCATGGCCAGGCTTCGTCCTGCCCCTCAGAGCAGGGTCAGGGGCACAGATCTCGGTGGGAGAGTGAACACAGTGTGCCTATGTAGTTCCCCCAAATCAGAGGAGACAGGAAGGCACACTCCAGGCCGGGGCCACCCATCCTGGTATTTTAACTCAGAGGCTGAAGAAACAAGTTCGGGCCAACTTTTTAAGAGTGCTCTTTCTGGGAGTTGGGGTTGGTGGTCAGGCAGGACTCAAGGCCAGCAGCCTGCCACTGAAGGTCACCATTTGCCCCTCCACAGGAGAGGCGAGAAGCCCCCAGGGGCCAGAGGTACCTGGAGCTATACGTAGTAGCCGACCACTCCCTGGTGAGGGCAGCCCCAGGAGTTGAGCGGGTCTGGGGCGGGGCCAGCATAGCCCCTCACTGCGCCCGCCGGGGTTTTTCTGCCTTCCCAGTACTTGACCCAGCACCGAAACTTGAACCATACCAAAGAGCGTCTCCTGGAGGTTGCCAGTTATGTAGACCAGGTTGGGGAGGTGGGGAGAGGTGGTGTGGCAGGGCAGGGAGAGAGGTGCCGCCTCCAAGGGACCTCAAGCCTCCCCGTCCTCAGATCCTCAGGACGCTGGACATCCAGGTGGTGCTGACAGGCCTGGAAGTGTGGACAGAGCAAGACCACAGCCGCGTCACACCCGACGCCAACGCCACGCTCTGGGACTTCCTGAAGTGGCGCCGGGGGCTGTGGGCACGGCGGCCGCACGACTCGGCGCAGCTACTCACGTGGGTGCCTCTGACCCCTAAGTGAGTGGCAGGCAGGGTGGCCCAGACTCCCGGCCCCGCCCGGTCACGCCGCGCTCCGCCCTCAGGGGCTGCACCTTCCGGGGCGCCACCGTGGGCCTGGCGCCCGTCGAGGGCATGTGTCGCGCAGAGAGCTCGGGCGGTGTGAGCACGGTGAGCCAGGGACCTTGGGGACAGGGACTGGGGCGGCGCTCGCGCCTGCGGTGATATTTACACACCCTCCCAGGACCACTCGGAGCTCCCCATCGGCGCTGCGGCCACCATGGCCCATGAGATCGGCCACAGCCTGGGCCTCAGCCACGACCTCGATGGCTGCTGCGTGGAGGCCGCGGCAGAGCAAGGCGGCTGCATCATGGCCGCGGCCACGGGGTACTCGCGGGCTAGGGCGCGGGGCCTAGGCTTATTCCTCTGCGTGCTGCTTCGGTTATCCCTCAGTTTCTCTTTTGTAAAATGGTGGTGGTGACAACCACTTGTCCTCATGGTTGTTTATGAGGCCTCAGTGGAAGAAACGCAGGTAAAGTGGATTCTCACGAGTATGAAGATTTTGAGAAAAACCTAGCAAGGTTGCTCCAACGCCGGAGCAAACGGCACGCGTAGGGCTGCGGTGTGGCCAACGCCAGGCCTGAGAATCCAGGCTGAGTGCGGGCTGGGGTGTCCTGCGCTCCCGACGCCCTCCCCCGCCCCTAGGCACCCGTTCCCGCGCCTCTTCAGCGCCTGCAGCCGCCGCCAACTGCGGGCCTTCTTCCGCAAGGGGGGCGGCGCGTGCCTCTACAACGCCCCAGACCCCGGGCTTCAGATCCCGCCTACGCGCTGCGGGAACGGCTTCGTGGAAGCGGGCGAGGAGTGCGACTGCGGCTCTGAGCAGGTCAGGTCCGCCTGCCCGACCTCTGGGGACCGAGCCTGGCCCTCCTCCAGCGGTCAGGGGCGCGGTGCCCGCATCTGTTCCAGTTTCACTTTTCTGGCCCCAGAAGTGCCCAGACCCCTGTTGCTTCGCCCACAACTGCTCGTTACATGCGGGGGCCCAGTGTGCCCACGGGGACTGCTGCGCGCGCTGCCTGGTGAGGGCGGGTTGGTCCTGGTTGGTTGGCGCCCCCTGGTCCTCTATGAGCGGGTCGCCTGGCCCTCGCGCCGGCTCCCCATCTCTGAACAAGCTTGGCTCAGATCTGTCACTGTCCATTGACTCAACCGGGCCCCTGCGCAGCTGAAGCCAGCTGGCTCGCCGTGCCGCCAGGCTGCAGGAGACTGTGACCTCCCTGAGTTCTGCACTGGCTCTTCCCCCCACTGTCCCCCGGATGTTTACCTGCTGGACGGCTTGCCCTGCGCGGGAGGCCAAGGCTACTGCCTGGATGGCGCGTGTCCCACGCTGGAGCAGCAGTGCGCACAGCTCTGGGGGCCTGGTGAGAGCGTGCCCTAGCATCTGGCCCCTCCTCGGGTCTGCCCTTTCCTCCCGTAGGCAGGATCTGCTGAGGAACTGAGGCTCTCAGAGCGTGGACCGGGCTGGGGCTTCGGCTGCGCTGCCCCAGTGCCCCTCTTTGATCTTCAGGCTCCCGCCCAGCCCCCGAGGCCTGTTTCCAGCTGGTGAACCCCGCGGGAGACGCCACTGGGAATTGCGGCCAGGATGGCTCTGGCCGCTTCCTGCCTTGTGCTCAGAGGTGAGCAGCACAGTGCGGGAGTAACAGCTACGCATGGCTCCCGGAGGGCCACACTCGCGGTGTTGACCACTCTCCACTTGCTCCTCAGGGACACTCAGTGCGGGAAGCTGCAGTGCCAGGGCGGGGAGCCCAGCCCCCTAGTGCCACACATCTTGCCTGTGGAGTCCACACTTCACTTAGACGGCCACCAGGTGGCTTGTCGTGCAGCTCTGGTGATCCCCGATGCCCAGCTGGACTTGCTGGACTTGGGCCTGGTAGAGCCCGGCACCCAGTGTGGTCCTAGAATGGTGAGCCCTGCCCACCTGACCCCTTCTGGCCACTTGAGTTCCATAGGCAAAAGTGTCCCCCCCTCACTGCCCAATGGGCTCATTGCCCATAGGTGTGCCAGGACAGGCGCTGCCAGAACACTTCCTCCCAGGAGCTGGAGCGCTGCCTAACTACCTGCCACAACCATGGGGTGAGTCACCTGAGCAGTGGGAGTGACACTGGGCTCCCTGACTCGACATGACCCTTCTTCCTTCTTCTCTGCAGGTTTGCAACAGCAACCATAACTGCCACTGCTCTCCAGGCTGGGCTCCACCCTTCTGTGACAAGCCGGGGTTCGGTGGCAGTGTGGACAGTGGCCCAGTGCACCCTGAAAGTGCGCCAATGGGGGACAAGTGGGAGGGCCCCAGGTGGTGCACCTGCTCAGTACTCAGTGCCTTGTCCTCTGCAGATGGCGACACGTTCCTTCTGGCAGTGCTCTTCAGCTTCCTGCTCCCTCTGCTCCCTGGGGTGGGCCTGGCCTGGTGCTACTTCCGGCTCCCTGGGCTCCACCTCCAGCGATGCCCCGGGGGCTATAGGAGAGACCAGGAATGCAGTGGGTAGGCTCTGAGCACTCAGACTGGGGAGGGGGGTGAGCCCTCCAAGCTCTTTGGGACTTGGGAAGCTGGCTGGGTCCTCAGCCTCACTCCCAGGTTCAGAAGGACCCTGGAGGCAGCAGAGCCCAGGATGTGGGTCCCTGCCTCTATTTGCATCTGGCCTTGCCCTCCACTCCCTTCCTGCCATCCCACCCCCTCCAGACTCCCAATTCTCCCACCAGGTGGCTGCCTCACCCTTGTCTTGGCCAGGGTTTTTCTCTAGCTTCCAGTGCAGTCCGCACTCCCTGTGTCTCCTGAGGCCTCTCCAGCTGTCTCATGAGTTTTGACCTCTCTGCCACTTCTGCCCAAATCACTCTGTCACCCCTTCAAATTCCCCAGTGTTCAGCCCAACACATCTTTGCCTTCTGTACCATTGGTCAGCTATGGTGGTGGCTGCTTTTGTGCCACAGCCCTGAACCCTATTCTTTGTGACCTGGGAGGAGGGCCACAAAATACTAAGTCTGGTCAACTTAGGGCTGTCCCTTTGCTGGGACCTTATGGCCATGTCTGACAGCCTGGCCCTGGGAGTGCGCTGGGCTAGCTGAAGGACAAGCAGGTTTGGGCTGGAGATGGGGACAGAGGTCATCATAGACAGGGGCATGACATCAGGCAGGCCGCAGGTGCCCACTGACAGGGATTTGGCCCAGTTTAGTAGTGAATGGACAAGGTGTATAGCAGGGGAGGGGGCATTTCAGGGGCAGTGGCTGTAATTTGTCATCAAGGAAGTGACAAGACCCTGGGAGAAGGAGCAAGGGGCACCAAAGATAGGGTGGAGTTACTGTGGGCAGCAGGGTAACCAAGGCAAGGAGCACAGGTGGTATGGCTCCTACTGGGCAGAAAGACATCCAGCTCTCTATGGGACCTAAGCAATGCCAACATCTAGAGGGTTCCAGGAAGCTGGGGTGGTGCCAGCGCAGGGAAGAAATAGCAGGGCTGGAGGAAGGAGGTGCTGGCAGCCCTGGAGGCCATGGATCCCAAGGAAAGAAGCCTGGATCCCAAGGGCTTTTCTCAAGAAGGGACAAGAAGAAGCCCGAGAGAGTAACTCAGAGCAGAAGGGCGGGGACAGTCAATGTAGACCTTGGGCTGGGTGCCATGCCATGGCAAAATGGTCCCCAGTGCCCCACTCAGGGTCACTCTTCCAACCTCCTGGCCTTTTATCCCACTGCTCAGGCCCAAAGATGGCCCTCTCAGGAACCATAGCCTGGGTGGCATTTACCTTGTGCAGTTGGGGTCCGTGGCCATTGGAGACCCCCAGCCCCTGGGTAAGTGAGGCACCAGGGGATGTGCAGAGGGAAAGGAAAGGGCAGGATGGGGTCTTGCCCTCTGCCTCTGTCCCAGTAGGCCTGCCCTCACCACTCAGTACCCAGCCACCTGGAGTCTCCTGTCCTCCACCCAGATGCAGAGGCTCCTGCCGACTGTGTCAGCATTCATTCTCCACTGTTGCTCCCAGACCCTGAGAACTCTGCCCAAGTTCAGCAGTCACCCTGAGAAGCCTGTGCCCTGCTGCCCTTTTTGATCTACAAGGTAGGGTCAACTCCAATGCTGAGTCCTCTTCCTCCCATTGCTCAGCCACTGATGTCCGCATCTCAGGCATCTGGGTTTGGGTTAAAATGGAAATGAGACATCACTTCTTGGAGACCAGGATGCTAGAAGTCCCTTGGGCAAGTATGGGGGAAGTTGTGGTTTTTCCTGGGTCTTGGGTCATTACTGAAGGGAACAAGGGGTCCCTGCCACATGATTTGCAACCTGGGGCCCCAGCCCTTTCTTCTGCATTAGAATCTCAGCAGGTCAAGTCTAGACACCAAGATCCTATCTGTGGGGGAAAGGTGGCTCCTGAGATGAGTAGACAGGTGACCACTGACAGCCATTCCAGGAACTTGGATCCCAAGGACAGACACAGCGAGTCAACTGATCTCCTGCACCTTCTGAAGCTTGGAGGTTTCTTCCTGCCTTGTCAAGGAGCTCCAGGACCCAAGCTTCATCAGAAGTTGCTTGATGTTGTCCCTGCTCTTGAGGGCTGGGGCATGCTGGGTACAGCTTCCAGCCCAAGAATCCATCCACAAAGGATTGAAGGTCCCATAGTCCCCAACCCCCAGCAGGGGAGGCCTCTGTCCTGGGAGCCTGGCTATGTCTGCTTTGTGCACTTTCCCTCCATGCAGCTCTCTGGAGGGCAGGGACTCCTGAGACTCAACATTTCTGATGGAGCCCACATTTCCTGGAGCCTGGCCCTTGCAAACAAGCAAGCAAACAAAATCTTTGATATCTCCTTTCTGGTCTCCTCCTACCCCGTCCTGTATCCGGGAAGCTTCTGTAGCCCCTACCCTGACTCCCAGTTCTCCATCTGAGGTTGTAGAGGGTGTGGCCTTTTGCAGCCCTCTTCACTTGGACTTTACTCAGTCCTCCATTCTGTAGGAGAGGCCTGAGGAGTCAGGTCAGGAAAGACAGTGTAGAGTCAGAAGAAAGGCAGGCTTCCTGGTGCCTCTGTGAATCTTTTCTGTTGTAAATTCAACCCTTGGGGTGTCCTGAGGGCCACTTGGAGTGATGTGGTGGGTGGAACCTCCAGTGGTAGCCAGGACACACCTGGATTCAGGAGGGTGTTGCCCAGGTTGAATTATCCCTTTGCTTGTCCCTCCTGTCCCTTTGGACATTCTTGTCTCCTGTTGCTCATGCCAGAGTTGCTGAGTGATCTGTATTAGGCAGCTGTTGCTTTGTAACAAAACCACCTCCAAAACTGAGTTGCTTAAAACAACAGGCAGTACAATCATACTTCTGAGGGTGTGAAGAATTGGAGAATCTTTGCTGTCTACCATTGGGATCCAGAGAAGCGGCAGCCCCAGCTCATCTATAGATTCGTCATGGTTCCAATAAACATCCCAAGACAGTTTTGGTTTTTTGGTGGGGCGGGGGGGCTTGACAAACTGCTCCAAAAATGGACATGGAACAGCAAAAATCCAGGAAAAACCAAAAGAAATTAAATTAAGAAAAAAGGCCGGGGATTTAGTTCAGTGGTTCCGCCACCTGCCTCTCAAGTGCAAGGACCCAAGTTTGATCCCCGGTACCAAAAAAAATAAAATAAATTAAGAATAAAATAAGGAACATTTGGATGATGGTATCAAGATTTATTGTAAACTTCTAGTACAGCCAACAGTGAGGGCCACTGTTACTTCATTACTTACCCTCAATGCCCAAGCACGAGGGACTAAATGCAACTACTTTATGATGCCACTTCTGTCTCACGGGTACCTGTGGGATTTTAGTTTAGTGAGAACCCAGAGAAGTTAAGGCCTCTGTGAAAGAAGGTGCTGCTCAGTTCCCTGGAGAGGGAGGCATGCAGGGTCATGCAGGCCACCTGGGAGCAGCAGGTTTGGTTGGGAGGCAAGGGTGGAGGCAAGGCCCAGGCCAAGCCCTGATGGGTTTTCCCTGAGACCAGGCAGGATGAGGTGAGCAGTGGGGACTAGCTGGTCTAAATTATCCTGCCAGAATTTAGGGTACAGAGCTGGTCTCTTGTTGTCTGGTACTAGTGCTGGGTTGATTTGGGCCAGAGGACATAGTGGCTGGGTGTGTGAGTTCCATGAGGACTCAAGATTGGCTGGTTGGTGGGTGAAAGGCATGAGTGGTGTATTAGCTCTTGAATTGTCCAGTTTCTCCCCAGCCAGCAAGCCCCTCTTCTCCCAGATGTTAAATCATACAATAGAGAAAATAAGAAAACACTATCAATACACTGCCCCCACTCTTGGCCTTCAGAAGGAGGTGTCTGGACTCCACAGGAGTCCAGATAACAGTGGATCCTACAGAGGTCAAACTCTGCCCTCTTAACTATCACCTAAGGTCACCCAGAACCTCTACTCTTCCTGCAGAGAGTGGAGCCCTGGGCAGCCAGATGGGAGGGAAAGAAAGAAGCAGTGGAAGAGAGATCCCACTCTGAGGGGTGGGGCACATCTGGAGCCTAGGATCACTCCCCCAACCCAAAGAAGGGAGGTGTTCATGCCTCTGAGTGGTTGTAGCCCTCAGGCAGGTGGGAGGGCACACATGCCCTGTGTCATCAGACCTCAGTCTTGAGTTTCCTTACTCATCCACTTTGCCATCTCATAGTGGTACACACCTGAATCCCAGCACTTGGGAGGCTGAGGCAAAATTGCCATGAGTTCAAGGCCAAATTGCCATGAGTTCAAGGCCAGCCTGAACTACACAGTGAGACTTTGGAAGAAAGGGAGGATGGGAGGGAAGAAGGTGGGGAGGGAGAGACAGGCAGATAGACGCAGAGACACACACACACCCTAGAAGTCAAATTGAGTCCCTTCTAGAATCCTCTAGCTCCACCCCCAACTCCAGGATGTGCACAAGCTCCCTACCCAGCCAAGCAGGAACCTGTGTGCAAAACAGAAACACAGGGGTCCCCATAGGTGTCAGTTTGCTTTGCAAAGATGTATTTATAGCAAACACAGGTCTGTATGATAATGAAGGTAATGATAAGACTGTGGGGTAAGGAAAAGAACTGGGCAAAATATTAAAGAATAACAGGTGGGTTTAGTGATACACACCTGTAACTTCAGCACTCTGGGAGGCTCAGGCAAGAGGATCCCAAGTAGAAGCCCAGCCTGAGTAACTGAGTGAGACTCTGTCTCAAAATTTTAAAAAAGGGCATGTAGCTCAGTGTGAAGGCCCTGGGTTCCATCTCAAATACCCCCCCCACACACACACACAGCATCTGAGCCTGAAAGGGAGTAACTGGCTGAAATGTTCTGTCCATGTAGAGTTCAAGAAGGTTAAGACAAAAGGTAATGCTTAGGTAATTAGGTATGCATTGCAAAGGGAGCCACTAACAACTGAAACAGAGGCTATACCTTTAACTTTCAAACCAATAGAACAAAAAAAATCAAATTCAGAGCTCAGGATATAGTTCAGTATTATACGTGAGGCTAGGAAATCCCCAGCACTACCAAAATAATTTTTTTAACTGAAAGAGAATAATAAAATTAGAATAAAAGCAGGGCAAATGGAAAGAAAACAGAAACAAGCCCAAATATGTCAGTAATATAATAAAATGTTAATGGACTTAACATGCCAATTAAGAGTGTCAGATTTGAGAAAAATGTTTTTTTCCCCTTAAAAGACATGCATAAGCCAGGTGTGGTGGCACAGGCCTGTAATCCCAGTATTCAGGAGGCTAAGGCAGGAGAATTGCCAAGAGTTTGAGGCCAGTTTGGGTTACATATGAGTTCTAGGCTAGCCTGAACCACATAGTGAGACCCTATCTCAAAAAACCAAAAATAAATAAACAAACAGTATGCATTCCTGAAATCCCAGGTACTCAAGAGGCTGAGGCAGGAGGCTGGCACATTTAGGGCCACCCTGAGCAATTTAGGGAGATCCTGTCTGAAAATAAAAGCATAATAAAGTCTGGGTATGTACCTCAGCACTACCTGGATTCAATCCTCAGTACAAGAAAGAAAAAATGAAATAAAAGGGAAGGAAGGAAGGAGAAGGGAAGAAAGAAGGAAGGAAAAAAAAGAGGGAAGGAGACAGACATCTAAAACATAGATTCAAAGCAAGACTCAAAAAATTAGGACATGAAAAACTATATCCCACAAATATAAAAGAAATCTAGAGGACCCATTTTAATAACAGGGATAAAATAAACTTTAAGACATTACCAGGTGTGAAGATCATCACATAAGATATGGAAGATTTAAAAGGGTAAGTGTGAATGTACCAAATAAAACAGCTTATAATTATTTACTGGAAAAAGTGACAAATTTATTATTACAGTGGGGTATGTGAGTGAGTTCTCAATTTTTGACAAATAAAGTGAGGTGTGGTGGTGCACACCTAGAATCCCAGCACTTGAGAGGCTAAGGCAGAAGGATCGCCATGAGTTCAAGGGCGGCCTGGGCTACATAGCGAGATCCTATCTCAAAAAATAAAAAAAAGGGGGCCTGGGATTTAGTTCAGTGATTCCGCCACCTGCCCCTCAAATGGAAGGACCAGAGTTCAATCCCCGGTACCCTAAATAAATAAATAAAATTTTAAAAAGATAAAGCTGCCAAAAAATAGCAAAGATACTGGCCAGGCACAGTGGCATACACCTGTAATTCTAGCACTCAAGAGGCTGAAGCAGAAGAATCTCAAAGTTGAGGCAACCTGGGCTACATTGAGTGAGGTCATGTCTCAAAAACAAACAAAACAAAAACTAATAAAGGCGATAAAACTGTGAAATGATTGAGAAAAGAAGAAATAAATAATATCAGAAATAAAAATAAGCATATGTACACATATGGCAGATTTAATATATAAGAAATTATCATGCAATTATGCTAATAAATTTGAGAAATTAAATGAAATGGAAAATTCTTAGAATATAACTGACTGGCCAACATTTGTTTAAAGAGAAACAAATGTCCAAACAGTTTTATATTTGTCAGCGAAGTCTCAATCAGTAAACATCTTTCCCCAGAAAGCACCAGGCTCAGATGTTTGGTTCTCAAAGAAGTTCTCCTAGATTTGAAGAAAGGGATCATCTCCGTGTTGCAGAAACCCTTCCAGTGAACTGAACAGAAGTAACTTGTTATGGTTTCGGTCCCTATGTCCCCCAAAAGCCTCACGCAGTCATAGGTGGCTTTTTCAGAGGTGCATGAATCTAGAGGATGTGATGCTGGGATTAAGGGCATGTGATTACTAAACCAGTACTCTGATTGGTTTGGCACTGCCCTAATCCCAGTAGTCTAGACAAGATAGAAGGGGCAGAAAGACACTGTTAAGGTTCCCTTGTTGCTTTTGCTAGTGTGTGGGCTCCATGAACTGTTTCTCCTCTGTGACGCTCCTCTGCCTTGTGCCACTCTGCCTTGGAGCCAGCTGATTATGGACTGAAACCTCTACAAACTGTGAACTAAATAAACCTTTTCCTCCTTTAACTTGGGGTGTCAGGTATTTTGTCTCAGCAAGGAGAGAAAAGTAACTAAGACAGAACTCTTCTCCTCATTCAATAAGACCAACATAATTTCACAGGGAAACTACATGAGATACTCCATGTAAGGGAAAGTGCAGGCCAAATTCACTCATTAATGCACATGTGAAAAACCTAAACCAACAGTTAACAAAACCAAACCCAAAGACATATTTAAAAGGACAAACAGCAAAGTGGTGTGTAAGAAGGAGAAAGAAGAACTGGATTGGAAATAACAGAAATCGGCAGGGCATTCTAGGTCTCCAGCTGTTTATAACGTGTATTCCTCATCCTGATTCATAGGTACTTGGGAGCTCACTGCATTACACTTTACATCTTTCTGCATATTAGGAATATTAATATTTTATACTTTAAAATTATGGCATTAATACCATACATGTGTAAAGTTAGGTTTAAATTTGGCCATAAAAAATAAAATATTATTTGGGAGGCTGAGGCAGGAGGATTGTAAGTTGCACAGCCAACTTGGGCAACTTGGGCTGAAAACCTGGGCTATGCATGGAGATCCTGTTGCAAAATAAAATTAAGATAAAAATAAAGGGAGGCTCGCTTTGCATGCACAAGGCCCAGGGTTAATATCTAGTACTGCAAAAACAGACAGACAGACAAACATAGAATTTCAGATAAACCTTATGGGCTTTATGTCTGTGCTCTTTCAAAATTTTTCTGCTCACTTGGAGTTTATTCAAGACAGTCAGTAACCTTTTTGGGAGATCTGAATTTCTCCTTTCAGGTAATGGATTCTAAGAAGAAAGATTTGCTCATGGGTTCTGACAAGGAAGGTCCTCTGGACCTGACTCTGTCATCAAATTCCACTGTATTTGCATCGAAAGTCAAAACAAATCACTTGCTTTCTTGTTTATCATTTAAATCTTAATGCTGAGGGTTTTGATCTCAACATTTCTTTATGCAATAACACTTTGGTGGAGGGCATGGTGGCATACGCACTCCTGGAGGCTGAGTCAGGAGGATGGCCTTGAGTTGGAGGGCAGCCTGGACTACACAGTGAGATGCTATCTCAAAAAGCCAAAAAACGGGCTGGGGATTTAGCTCAGGGGTGCTGCCTCCTGCCTGGCAAGCGCAAGGTCCCGAGTTCGATCCCTGGTACCAAAAAAAAAAAAGCCAATAAATTTTGGTTAGTCAAAACAATGCTGTGTCTCATACTGTAAGACCGAGGGCCTTACCAAACGCTCCGAGGAGCTGACTGCAGCGACGAACACCCGGGAAGGAACACACCGGACAAGTTGGAAAATAAAACAGACCTTTATTAGTCTGGCCAGACGGCACTCCCAAAGCAAAGTAGCTAAGAGAGGCAACTGGCTCAGAGTCCGAGGCTGTTTTATAGGGGGTTGAGGGGGAGGTTAACATGTAGATTCACGGAAAAAAAGGAACAAAGGTTAGTGGTCGACTGTCACGTACTGACGGTCAGCAGACACACACAGTAATGGTCACGACCATATGGTCACAATCGTCACGTACCGATGGTCAGCAGACTCAGTGATGGATTGTTCTACCGATAGTGGGTCCGGGAATATTCGTTCTCCGGACAAACAAGGGGTTGAATGATTTACTTAGGAACTTTGTTTTGTTATAGATTTTATCTACTATCCCAAGACTAACAAGCACATTTTAACCATTAAATTTTAAACACAACAGAGGCTAGGGGAATAACTGAATTTTGAATCATACAGTCCCACAATACTAATCAGAAGAAAACATCAGGTAAGTTCAAAAGAGTCTGCAAAATAACCAGGATTCTTCCAAAGTGTCAAGGATAAGAAGAATAAGGAGAGACTGGGGAAACCACCTCAGATGGGAGGGGACTAAATGCAGTGTGGGATCCTGAATTTGGATCCTGGAACAGAAAAAGAACATTAGTGGAAAAACCAGGCCTTTCAAAATGGTCTATTGTAGGGAACAGGGGAAGGGGACGTTGCCAGAACCTCTGCAGTGAGTCCTAGTCTCCTGTGAGCCATGGCAGTATATGGCGAGTTACAGGGAAGGTAGAAAAATGAGACTTTGAGAAGAAGCTGAGCTTTGAGTCTGATCAGTGCTGCTCTGGGCAGCAAAGACAAAGACCCCCTAGCTTGCAGCACCTTTTATTCAGTACATGGGGAAACAGATGTAACAAGTGAAATGCAGAGTTCAGTACTTCACATTGGGATAAACAAGGTGTAACAAAAAACTGGGGGACAGTGGAAATCTAAGAACAATGAGGAACTGTGCAGATGAAGATTTGGTTCCTCCCAGGGTGTCTTCCGCAGCTGTGGTCTTGTCCTAGAGCATCACAGCATCACGGGATCACTGAGGTCTCAGTTGTGACCCAAGGCCAAAATGCAATTATGTCTCAGAATGCCATACCTGGCCTGTAGGCAGGAGAACTAGGCCTACTCAAATGATTTTTCCCTAGAATTATGTAGCGTTGCTCCCAACAGTCTATGGTTTAGTTAACAGCATTGTACCAGTGTTAATTTCCTAGTTTTAATAATTGCACTGTGATTTACGCAAGATGTTAGCACTGGGGCAGGCTGGGTAAAGGGCGAGAGGAAAACACTAATATGTTTGCAAACTCTTATAAAAGTGTAAAATTAATTAACGAAAGGTTAACTGTAAAATTATTAAGAAAGGAAAATTGTGGTTTCCTAAAGTTACAATATTTGTGGGAGAGACAGCATCCTTGAGTTTCTGTGTGGACATTGCTGGGTGTGTAAGGGCTCTCAGGTCCCTCTAGGTACACTAAGTGCTGGCCGTCACGCCCCAGGTCCGCTGAAGATGAAGCCAGGGGTTCGGGCAAAGTGGAGAGGGCGGGGTGTCATAACCGGCGCACAGGCTCCTCTGGCGGGAGCTGAGAGTCAGCGCAGACACCTGGGCGTCTCCCGCGCTCCTGCTCTGGAGGCGCCGGGAAGGGGATACCTGCCTACAGGGCCTCTGCCTCAGTGGTCCTTGTCCACAGCGGGTCACAGTCGGGCATGGCAGGCTGCTTGAGGGCCGCGCTGCTGCTGCTGCTACTACTGGGTGAGTGCCTATTTCCTCCCCAAGATCCCACCCTGGTCTCTCCGCAGCTCCTCCCTGACAGGACGGGAAAACCAGAGGGCGATTCCAGGAACATCGGGATGCAGGAGGGGGCGCCTGCGGGGGCGCCTGTGCTTAGGAGCCTGGGACTCAGGGCCTTGTAACCCAGCTGAGCTACCCCTCTCCCAAGTCCAGCCTGGTATCTCTGCCCCCGGAACTTTCTTTTCCTGTGCTCACCCCTCCCCCAGCCATCTTATCTCTCCGCAACCCCGCACTCCACTCCTAGTCTGGACCTCACTGCAGCATTGTCTCAGGGGCCTGCACCTGCTGTTCCACCTTCAGGGATGCCCTCCTTCACCTGGGATATCAGGAGGAGGGGCAGAGAGATTCCATGGGGAATCTGGTAAAGGTTTAAAGTATAGATCTTGGAGCTAGGATGCACTGTTTTGAGAATGGAGAGGAGGTTTGGGAGCAAAGGAGCAGGTGGGTCCAAGACTTTAGGTGACACGGGTGCTGCTGTGATCGCTGAGGCCTGGGGTTGTGCCAGGCAAGGTTAGGTGGGAAGGTCAGAGTGCGCCTGCTCTCTGAGCCTTGGGGCCTTCCTCCATGTGGGGGAGAGAGGAAGAGAAAGGTCAGTGGAGTAGGAGGGAAAGGAGGGGAGGCCCAGCCCCTCTCCCCTCAACCCCCTCCACTCCCATACCTGTTTCCAAGTCCTCAGCATATTTGTCCTTCCTGCAGACCTGAAGGCACTGAAGCCACAGCAAGAACCACGATCCCCACCATCCAACCCACAGCCCAGAAAAAAGAGATGGCAAATGCCAGAGGGGGACCCTCTTCCAGCCTGAGGCAGGAGACCCCCACACCCACACAGATGGGCACGCTGGGCCCTTTCCCTCAGACTGGGGTGCCAGAAAGGCTTAGCCTGGTGTTGGTGACCCAAGTCCTAGGAAGGGGCTGCCAAGTCCTCCTGGGTACTCCAGCTTGGCTGGATTTAGGTGTGACAAGCGGCACCTCAGGGCTCAGCTCATCTGCCACAAGACCTCCGATATGACTCTACCATGCCAGGTGCCCCCTCTGGCCCCACGCGGGGTGTCATTTATCTCTGGCCTACTCCATTGAAACGCAGGATGCACCCTGAGGTCCTGTGTTCAGGACTAAGTCCTATGGCTGCCACCTGGGCTTCTCTCAGTCCACATCCCACGGCCAAGCCAACAGGAAACCTCTCCTTGGCTGATGAAGACTGGAGGGCCTGGAAAGCCAGAGACCAGATGGGAAAGGCTGAGTCAGACCCTGACCACACAGGCCAGAAAGGAGGGAGAACCAGAAAGCTACAGACCACCCAAAGTGGCTCCATGAGGAGGAAGAGTGGAGGAGAGGTCAGGCGCCCCAATGTAGCCAGAAGAGAGGATATGAGGTGTCCACGGTCCATAAGTCTTCATTAAGTTGCCACTAAGCCTCAGTGTTTTTCCGTCAGGTGGAACTTGGGGGGGGGGGGGCGTGCACCTCCTTTAGTGGTGTGGGACAGTTTTGGGGATGGTGGCTGTGCCCCGGGAGGGTGGGAAGCCTTTTCAGGCGCCCCTTCCATTCCCGACATGGTGCAGGGACCCCCCACAACCTACCGCTGTCCATTCTCGCGAACGTGGTCAGGCCAGCGCCATTAGGCCAGGCCTTTGGGCCACACTGTTCTCGCCTTAGGTTTTGAGTGTCCCTCAACTTCCGAGGGCATGAACGGGGTGAAACTAGTAAGGTGAGCGGACAACTGCAGCCTGCACCATCACCCCCCCTCCCCCCGCCAGGGTCTGTGAGCGTAGCCGGAGGGAACCGCTGCGTGGACGCGGCCGAGGCTTGCACGGCGGACGCGCGGTGCCAGCGGCTGCGCACTGAGTACGTGGCGCGGTGCCTGGGCCAGGCAGCGCCCCGGAGCTGTCATCGCGCCCGCTGTCACCGGGCCCTGCGCCGCTTCTTCTCCCGTGGGGCGCCAGCGCTCACCCACGCGCTGCTCTTCTGCCCTTGCGCGAGCCCCGCGTGCGCCGAGCGCCGGCGCCAGACCTTCGTGCCCGCCTGTGCCTTCTACGGGCCGGGTGCAGTGCGGCCCTCTTGCCTGGAGACCTTGGACGCCTGTGCGCAGAGCCGGGTCTGCAGGTGCGCGGAGGGATGGGGGGGGGGGGGGCGGCCGCCGCTCACTCACTGACCACCCCTACTCCCCACCGCCCGCGCAGGCCCCGCCTCCTGGTCTTCCAGGCTTCCTGCCTGCAGGTCCCCAGCGCCCCCGACGGCTGCCTGCGCGACCGGGGACCCCGCTGCCTCCGCGCCTACGCAGGCCTAATGGGTACGCATGATGAAGATCAAGGGGCGAGCAGAGCCTCTCCGGGGGATGCCTCCGCCCTACAGTGGGCTGATGACCGGGCCCTCGGTGTCACCGCAGGCACAGCCATCACCCCCAACTACTTGGACAACTCGAGCGCGCGCGTGGAGCCCTGGTGCGACTGCAGAGCCAGCGGAAACCGGCGGGAAGAATGCGAAGCCTTCCGGGGTCTCTTTACAAAGAACCAGTGCTTGGGTGAGGGGGGAGGACAGTGCTTACTGCCCCTTCCCAAGTCCTGGCGGCGGGAGCCATTTAAAAGGAAGACAACTGAGGTTCTTTGCGACAGCCACGCAGGCACCCTTTCTCTCTCCAACCCCCTTGCCCCCCACCTTTTTTTTGTTCCCTGGGATCGAACTCATAATCTTGAGCTTTCGAGGAAGGGAGGCTACCACTGAGCTAAATCCCTGGCCCTCTCCAACCCCTTTTGTCACCTTACCCCTGGGAGAATCTTTGCCCAGGACACAGACCCCTGGAGGTGCCAAGACTGGTGGGAGGGAGCAAGTTAAAACAGGTTTTCGAGGACCTGGAATTGGGGTCCTCAAGGTGAGACTCCTACTTCTGGCACTTCTGAGCCTCTTCTCCCTCCACGATGCTCTTTCAGGTGCCCCCACTAGTGATGTCATCCCTTGCGTTCCTAATGGTTTTATAGTCTGGAAGTTAGGAGGCCTGAGTTGGAAGCACGACTCTGCCACTTAATGAGAGTAAACTCCTCTAAGCCTTTTTGTGTTCATTTGTGGGAATATAATTGTTGCTCTCCCCCATGAGGCTGCAAGACTGTACCATTTGTAAGCAGGGTGTGATTGCTATGAGTTTGAGGCCAACCTGGGCTACATAGTGAGTTCAAGGCCAGCCTGAACTACATTGTGAGACCCTGTCTCAAAGAACCACAAAAGACAAAAAAAAAAAAAAAAGACTGTACAATTTGTGAGTTACTCTTGGTGCAGTGGTCCTTGTTTTGTTATGGCTGGACATGCATTTCCTGTCCCAGAAGCCATTCCTTGCAGATACCAGGGACCTCAATTTGTTCAAAGGGAGCTGGGCCCTGTGGAAGGGTTTTCCAGCCAGGTTCCCTGCGGGCTCTTACTCCATAGATGGTGCCATACAAGCTTTTGGGAGCCGGTGGTCTGGAATCCTGCAAGTCCAGTTGGACTCTCACTGGGACCCTGGACACAACCTCCTGCAGGTAGGTGCAGGGAGGAGGTGGTGAACTAGCAGCTCGTGCTCTTTCCTCCCACAGCTTCCCATGCCAAGGTGGCAAGATGGAGGCACTGGGAAGGGGGGCACAGACATTGTCAGGCTGGTGCCTCAAGTCCTCACTCTGCTCCCACCCCAGGTGTCCTCTGCAGGTGGGCCCCTGGAGGGAAGCTCCCTACTGTCCATACTCCCTGTCCTGGCTCTCCAGGCCCTGCTGTGATAGGATGGCAGACCTCAGTCAGCACAGCCAGCTGCCTGCATCACCCACTGTAAAGAGGGTGGTTCACCCTCTCTACGGCCCTTTGTAGGTTTGTCCACCTGTATGCCTGTCCTTTGGAGCAAGGATTGGACCCTGGGGGCCAGGCCGCAAAGCCTCTGGTTTCCAATTCAGTAGAGATTTTGATTGCAAGTCTCTTTTTTTTTTCTTTCTTCTCTTTCTTTCTTTCTTTCTTTCTTTCTTTCTTTCTTTCTTTCTTTCTTTCATTCTTTCTCTCTCTCTCTCTCTCTTTCTCTCTTTCTTTCTTTTTTGGCACTGGGGATCAAACTCGGGGCCTTGCGCTTGACGGGCAGGCAATGGAACCACTGAGCTAAATCCCTGGCTAAATCCCTTTCTTTATAGACATGAGACAGTTGGAGTCTCCCACAGGGTAGGACAAGAGAGGGTGGGCTTTGTAGCTGAGATGTCACCGGTGCTGCAGATCTGAGAGACCATCTGGATTCCTAGGACTCTAGGAAACCATATCTGACCCCCAAGCATATAACACCCTAAGGAATGCATCGGAATGGACTTATAGGCAGGACTACCATAGCAGCTACCACAGCCTTTCAGGGCACCCTCACAACTAGGTGTTACCCCCTTTGGATCCACCTTTGCCACAGGGCTAATGTGGCACAGTGCTTCCTTTCCATGATGTGGTGCTGGATGGATACCACCTGGATGAGTGAGAATCCACTCCCTGTTCTGCCCTATCTTGAATTGGCTACTGGCCCGTTTTCCCCACAGTTTATCCTCAACACTGGGAATGGCACACCAAACTCAATAAACGATTGTGCACTGAAGCTGACCTTGTTCTTATGTCATCTGAGTCCTGGGAGCTGGAAGATCAGGATGTGCTGCACATGGTGTGCTCTGCTGTCCTATGTGAGCTCAGATGGTCCCAGAACCTCTCCGGGTTCTGTTTCCTCCCTTACAGACACTAAAATGAATCAACTCTCAAATCCTAGTGGTAGTGATTTTCTTTGTTTTTGCTTCTTCCTTCTTGCTAGTTTTCAAATAAAGAAACTACATTTCCCAGGCCATGGAATGCACACTAGCCAGTGTGATCCAGTGAGTGCCCTGGGCAATGTTAAACTGCCATTCTGGGGCTGAAGGTATAACTCAATGGTAGAGAATTTGCCTAGCATGCATGAGGCCCTGGTTTCTATCTCCAGCACTGGAATAAATATAAACAAACAACAAAAGTAACTAGCAGCAGTGTGAGAGAGTTTGGGGAGAAGAGGGTAGAAAGCTGGGATCTAGGCACTAAGCTTCTGCCTGCTTGCTTCTTCCTAGACAGTGTGGAAACTCCTGACAGCTCAGAGCTGTGCCCTTCTCTAAAGAATCACTTCCTGGAAATACCTGGTGGTGTCCAGTCTGCTGCCAAGGTGACTGCAGCCCAGGACTGACTGAGGCAGGCAGGGGTGTACGGGCTTGGCCTGCCTGTCTCAGGGTATGTTATGGCTATTGTCTAGATGTACCCCCACAGCCTCATGCAGTCATAGGTGAGGCTTTTTCAGAGGTGGCTGAATCTAGAGTGTATGATTGATTTATGGTGCAATGCTAGGTTTATGGGTGCTGGGATTAAGGGTGTATGATTATTAAATCAGTTCACTGACTGGTTTGGCACCACCCTAATCCCAGTAGCCTAGATACAACATAAGAGATAGAGGCTTGTTTTGTCCCTTGTTTGCTTGCTTTGCTGCCTTCTACCCTCCATGAACTGTTTCTTCTCTGTGATGACTTTCTGCCATGCCACCCTGCCTTGCAGCCAGCTGATTATAGACTGAAACCTCTACAAATTGTGAGCTAAATAAACCTTTCCCCTTTAACTTTGGGTGTCGGGTATTTTGTCTCAGCAATGAGAGAAAAGGAATTAAGACAGGGTGGCATGGTCCTGTTTGCTGTTCTGGCTCCAGAGCCAGTGGAGACTGATAGGCTGCACGCCAGCTGATTCCATCCCCCAGCTCATCTCCATCCTTGCCCATCCTGCCCCCTTCACCTACAGTTTCTGGAGAACCTGATCTAAGAGACAGAGATTAGCTACAGACCACCAGGACTTGGGCCTGGGCTGTCCTGACAGGAACGGGGGCCACCAGCTCTGAGACAGTGTGTACATAACTCACACCAAACCCACAAACACTGCTTGCTACTGCTGTCACTCAGCTCCTAGCTTCAGTCAAGATTTGCCTGGTTGTAACAAATCAAACTGGCTTGAGCATACACCCGAGCAGCCCAGGCTTCAAGCACAGCTGTCTCCAAAGATTCCAATGATGTCATCCTTGCTAGTTTTCCCAGCAGCTTCCTTCTGAAGTAAGGCAGGCCCTCACTAAGGGGTAGGGAAGATGCTACCAATGCCTCTCCTTTTAGCAGTCCCAACAGAGAGCCACATCTCTCTTTCCCAGCATTCATGGGCCCTGTTGGGTCCAGCATGGGTTACTGGCCTCCTCTTCCTGTGGCCTGGCTCACCATAGTCACCTGGAATGGGAGCAACAAATTTCCAAAGAAAAAGAAGGTGTTGGGGCAAGCATGGTGACACATGCCAGTAATCCTAGCTGCTCAGGAGGCTAGGATGGGAGGATCACAAGTCCAAGGCCAGTCTGTTTCAAGACCTTGTCTCAAAACGAAAAGGGCTAGGATGTAGCTCAGTGGTAGAATGCTTGCCTAGCAGGAGCAAGGCCTTAGGTTCAATCCCTCGCACCACTTATCTAACAAACATGTTAGCATAGTGAGGCTGAGTCTAGCCAGTCTCACTTCATAGAAATTGAATATTCTCCATCACCTCCTCATGCACAAGAGTGGACAACTCTATGTGGGTTGGGGAGCAGGGGCTGTGTTGGGGGTGCAGGCTAGTGAAAGCATCACTCTGCTCTGCTCCCCAGAGTCACATGGTGGCTGCTGGCTCAAATGAAGGATTAAGTCTGCTAATAGTCATTTTCTTATGTGAAAGAATGTTTGGCTTTGCTCCGTTTTCAACTCAGATAAAAGCAAAATGTGGATATTTTAATTTTTTATTATTTTTCTTTTTTTTAGCAAAACATTTATTGATACATTTTAGATATACATAATAACACTCATCACAGGGAACTTGCACCTGTATAGGATATGTCCTGCCTCTTCTTTTTTTCTCATTCCCCCTCCCCTCAGGCCCACTCCCCTCCCTATATACAAAAACTTTGTTTCCATTTTTTCCTTCTATTTTCACTTTTTTCTTGTCCCTTCTTTCTTTTCTCCTTTCCCCCTCCCTTGTTCCCCTACCCATTTGAACATTTTCTTCCCTAAATGCAAATATTTTTTAAAAAGTAATAATGATTTAAAATAAAAATAGAATTATGGATAGAAAAGCACAGGCATATTCCTTCCAACAAAGAGAAGACGATGTCAATAGAACCAATTTGAAATGGTGAGACTGTTCCATGGCTGCTGGTGGTCCCAAAGATATGTCTGCATCCAGATCCCTGGAACCTACAGTGTTACTATTTATAGTGGCAAAGAGAGAGCATCACCTTACATGGCAAAAGACAGGGCTGAATTCGGGTCTGGACAGAGGTGCTTAACCTGGATTATCCAAGTGGGTCCTGAATGCAATCACCTTTCTTCTTTTAAGAGTGATGCAGAGAGAGGCCGGGGCGGGGAGGCACCAGCTAGACACCCAGAGGACAGGGCTGTGTGAAGACAGCAGAGATTGCAGCTGCCAGCCAGGGGATGCCAGATCCACCAGGACAGAAGGGAGCATGGCCTTGCCAACACCTCAGGGTCAGATTTCTGGCCTCCAGAACTGTGAGAATACTGTGTTTAATTGGTTACGGCAGCTCCAGGAAACTAGCTGAGTTGCCTAAGGTTGTTAGGGTTTGGTTTCTGTTACTTCTACCTAAAAGGACCTGGTTATGCACAGTGATGAAGTCTGGCCAACTGTCTCAAGGCCGAGTCTACCTGTGCCCCCAAAACACATGTGAGTGTCAGCCTCTGTGTCTGCCAGGCAGCTGTGACTCTCATGTACACACTGGGATATTGCAGACCCGGCCCTGGACTGTACCCTGTGGCTGGGTCTCTTTACCTGTACCCAGTGCGGATTCCCCAGCTGGCAGGTGGCCGGGGTTGGGGCAAACAGAAAGGCAGGTGTTGGGCTGGAAATGTCCATGTATTTTTGTTGGAAACTTCATGGCTCATGAATGCCTCCCTGGCTGACAGCCCAGCATCTGGGAACAAAGCTGATGTGGAAACAGCACATTGCCCACCTCCCCAAGTGAGTCAGGCCAAGCTCACAGAACCAGCTGGTAGACACTGGCCGGTGAACTCTCACGAAGGCTGGGAGGAGAGTGGCTGGGCAAGGTTTCCAGAGAGGGACCCAGCAGGACAACAGCTCTCCAGGGAGTCTTGGCACACTAGGAAAACAGGCAGGCACGTGGTTCCACATTGCTAGGCTGAAGTCTGTGAAGGACCGGACTGAAGGAGGTCTTGAGAAGCTGCTCTGCCAGGGACATGTCACTCCATACCCAAATAAGCCTTCAGATCAAGGCTGATGTTACAGAGGGAAAAATGAGTAACCACATAAGTAAATAAAATACACAGCCAGGTGTGGTGATGCACACCTGTAATCCCAGCTACTCAGGAGGCCAAGGCAGGAGTATAAAAGTTCCACTTAGTGAGACCCTATATTAATATTTTTTAAAAATTTATTATTTATTAAGTTTTTTTTTTGAGACAGGGTCTCAGTATGTAGTTCAGGCTGGCCTGTATAGCTCAAGTTGGCCTGAACTGTCAGCGATCCTCCTGGCTCAGCCTCCAAAGTGCTGGGATGTGTTGGCAGGTGTGTGCCAACATGCCTGGCAAAAATTTTTTTTAAGGACTTGGGATGTAGCTCAGCGGTAGAGCCCTTGCCTACTATGTGTGAGGCTCTGGGTTCAGTCCCTAGTACTACAAATAAATACACAAACTCAAGAGACAGGTGTTAAGGGACAGGAATTAAGCAAATGAGAAGCAAAGATGGGCTCTGGCAGTAGACTACCTCTTTTCAGCACACTCCATACAGTCTCTGGGGTCAGCTGTCAAGTCCCTTTCTTTTTTAAATTTTTTCGGTACCAGGGGTCAAACTCAGGACCTTGCACTTGCAAGGCAGGCATGGTGCCACTGACCTAAATCCCTGGCCCTGTGAAGTCCCTTTTTTGTGCTGGGGAGACCAGGTAGAAGGAAATCCTTACCAGGCATGTTGCACAGTCATGTGCAGAGCCACAGGGTGTCTGTTCAGAAGGGACCCACAGATCCATGGGGTTGGAGACTCAGACACCAGGAATAACATTACCGCTGGTGAAAGAATTTTCCAAAATGATGACCAGGTTATGGTAAAACTTAAGAAAACAAACTTCAGTCTGCCTTTCATTTAAATGGTAGTTGCATTTCTGAAAAATTGTGTGTTAAACCAGCTCAAATATTTTGTGTTTATAATATGGTTAGATTCTATGCTAGAATAATTAGAAACAAATTTTTTCATCTACACAAATAGCAGCAAGACCCCTGAAAGTTGGGTGGCATGCAGGTCGGTTCCTCATGCAGGTCTCACATCACAGGGTGTCTACCTTCATGCCCATCCACCAAAGCACAGCCATACATCCCTGATCAGTGCAATAGGCAAAATTGCCACCTAGTCCCCAGATGTTCCCTGGAGGCAATCCTGTGTCCACTGAGAACCATTGCTCAACATGTCCCACTCCAACCTCACTTTATCACTGCTATTCAGCCTGCTTTCCTTGGGCCACCCCACCTGCTGCCTCAGGGCCTGTGGACCTGCTGCTTCCAGTTTGGAATGCTCTGCCACCACCTCATCAAAATGGCCTTCCTCAGCCACACTGTTCGATAGTAATCCCCCCAGTACTTCCTACCCGCAACCCAACTTTTACCTCTCTTCATAGAAGCTACTATCTGACATTTTATTTATCATTGTAGATACTAGGCTGAAAACTCGTCAAGGATAAGAGATTTTTATGTTTTGCTCCCTACAAAATCTTTGGTTCCTTCACAATGCATGGCCCTGTTGTGCTCATGAAAAAAACTTGAATGGCCAGATGAATAAATCTAGAGGAATGATAATTAACTCACTTAGGCAGGGTAAGATAGCTATTTCCAATGATGAATGTAAATGTATTGTATACCTAAAATGTACCAATAAAAGAATTTAAGAGAGAGGAAAAAAAGAAAAGATAGCTATTTCCCATAACTCTCTTCCACAAAGTCACCCAGGGCCCCAGGTTCTTTGACTCTGTTGCAATACCATCTTCCACATGAGTAGAGAAGGTTGATGGCCGGAGGAGACAGTCTTCAGAGCCCTGACAAGGCTGTGACACATCATTGACAAGGACTGGTCACCTGTCTCCATACAGATGCCAGACTCGTGTGCAATGTAGGTGAAGCTGGGGGCTGAGAAGGAGGAAATGGTGTGCTGAGCACCTAGCCAGTCCTGGCACAGTTGCTCTCCTTGTCACCAAAACCCACTTTGCTCTTCCTCCCCAATCCGAAACACAGGCATCCTCTCCTAGGGGGACAGTATGAGTTCCATCACATCCAGACCTCCAGGTGATTCTCTGAATTAACAACTGACCCTCCCCACCCCCTAAGAGGCAGGGGTGAGTTGGGGCAAGGGACTCCCATTAATCCTCTGGTGCAGGCAGGATGGTGGCTGGTACACAGCAATCACTGGCTTTCAAATCCTGCAGGCTTGCCCTAGGCGGGGAGGTCCTTGCCAAGCCTGGTTCTGTCCTCTGGACGCCTCTTTCATGACTGTTCTTGCCAGAGGGTGGCCTTCCTCAACCATTAGAATTTTGTTTGTTTTAATGGCTATACTCATGGTTTCTTAAACTTACAATTTTCTTCTTTGTGGTCCTGGGGATTGAACCTAAGGCCTTGCACATGCTAAGCAAGTGCTGTACTCCTGAGCTACATCCCAGGCCAAACTTACTACATCCTTTCGGTATTTGTTGTTTCCCAGGCAGGCAGTGACTGCACTGCATTCTTGGTTCCTTCCTGGAAAGTTCCATATTGGCTTTATTCTTTGCTTCCTCCACATGATGGCCTGAGGTTACCAGGCTCAGTGGTGAGACCACCGTCTCCCACAAGGGCCAGTCACTGTGTTTAAGTCTCACAGCTCTTGGTTGTTCACCAGCAGCTCCTGTTGTTTGGGGCTAGCAGTTGGTTTTTTCTACACTGCAGGGTCCTGGATGTAGGACTCCCCCTCCCCTTTACCTTCTGCTTGTAAACTGGATGATTCTTTGTAGACCTCAACTTTCTTGTGATTCCTTGGCCAAAGCAGCAATAACAACACATGCCACATTCTGTTAATTTTCCAGCTTTTCCCTTCAAGCTGAAACTCAACAGGCATGTGATTTGTTTTCCAAGTTACCCAACATGACAGCCTTCCCAGACGTTTTGCCATTGCTTGGCGGGGACCTCCAGTGTTCCTCCTGCTGTTTTCTCACTGCCCACCACCTGGCCGCTAAGCCAAGGCCAAGTGTTCTAGGTTTAGGTTACAGGTGCATCACACTTCAATTTGCTGCTAGATCCAGATTTAGCAGTTTGGAAAACCTGGAGACACTGGGGAGCCTATGAGGAGATGGAGAAAGAGGGGCAACTGCAGAAAGCAGTGTGGTGAGGCCCAGTACAGCCTGTCTCCTCCCAGGGCAGAGCTGCTCTGTGGGTGCACACAGGCTACTGTGGGACAACTGAACTTCTGGACTTCCACCCACCATCTGCCCAGTGCCGAGTTTCACCCTGGAGAGGGCTCTGGGCAGTTTTACACCCTCACCTTCCTGACTGCCAAGTGCTTCCATGGAGGAAGTCTGAAAACTAGTAACATCTTAAACATCTTTTTCCTTTTCTTAAGGTTCTAATGACCAAAATGTAAATATAAGCAACAAAACCAAGATTAAAATTAAGCACTCAGAACAAAAGCCACATTTTTACCAGATCTACTTTTATTTCAGAAGGAAGTTTGTATTATAGTATTTACTTTTGTTTATATACAGGTGCTTCACATTTGTGTTTAAAATGCACAGACCTCCCTTAATTCTCATGTTCCTGCTTAAATTAGCTGTTATTTTACAATACAAAAAATACCAAAAAATTGCAGTCCTAAATGTATGTATAACACCCACAATCCCAGCAATGAAATAGTTTACAATACTTACTCCATATTTACATGAGTACAATAGATGCTAAATTATACATATTAACAAACTAAGCTTGAATCCAAACAAAACGAAAACGTAAATAACTATAAAACAAAAACATTTCTAGAGCCAGAATTAGTTCAACGAAACAGGCTTCACTAGTGTTCAGAATGTTTTGTGCACAGATTCATTTACTGAGTCGGTTCCATTATTGCCTTTGGAAGGGTAGGTGCCATCTTCCCTCTGCTCTCCAGAGCGCCCCCTGCAGGCAGTCGGTGAGCTCACGCGGCTGGGCTCAGTCTCCATGGGAGGAGCTGCATGGTAGGAGCTTGGTCAACAGGGTAAACATTGCGGGTGTCTGAGCGGGAGGGCAGCCAGAGCACACTCCGTTGACAGGAGGCTTTCCTGGTTCTGTCCTCAGGATGGCCCGGTCTCAGAAACCAACCCAAGGAAAGCTCTCCTGGGGTAACGGGTGTGAGGCATTTAGAATTTTCTGTAATTCTAAAGAGCTACTTTTTCATCTCTGTCATTGCCCTAGCATTAGCCTAGGTTAGTAAGTGTTCAGTAAATATTTGTTGAACGAATAGTTGAGTTCAGGGAATGGATGAAGGATAGTCATGAAAGCAACACCATCCTCCTGAGGAAGTGAATCACCTCCCCACCCCCAATCTGCTACTTTCTGAAGGAGCCAGATGGGCCCTGCAAGGGAAAACGACTTTTCCTATCCAGAGTGCTCGTCTCCTCTGCTTCCTAGTGAATCTTACAGATATTCCAGCATTTTCCTGTTGCTGATGGTCTTCCTCTAGGTCAGCTCAGAGAAGTAAGGGTGGCCTGCTCTGCACCACTTTCTCATCTTTACAGGTGACTCTCCCTGGACCTCCCCAGACCATAGGGAGGGACTGGAAGTGGAGAGCAGGCTGGGCTGTGAAAGCTCCCTGGGAAATGGAGCTGTTTATGAACAAGCCTCCACCTTCCCGCCCTAGTTTTCATTATAAAAGACTATGGTGCTCAGAAATGGTCATTAAAAATTTAGTCAAAGCCACAACAAACGGCAGCCTGGAGAACCCGTTTTGGGAGTCTGACTTTCACAAATTAGTCTTTGAATTTAAAGACTAGAGAAACAGCTTTCACATTGATGGGACTGGTCACCCCTTGTGCCCTAGAGTCTGGAGGGCTACCAGGTTGTCAAGGAGCATGCTGAGCGACAACAGTGACAGAAACTCCTGCTTCCAGAGCTGCCTTGAGCACTGCCTGGAATACAGCCTCACTGCCCGAGTCATGGTAGGTCCTGACAGACCTGTTTGGAGCTAGCTAGCAGGTACCAGGTGCAGCCAACTACATCAGTGCCATGCTGGCCTGGTTCTTGGTTTCATTATGAGTAGAGACAGGATGTTCCAGAACTTGGATACCCAGTATATAACACAGAAACATATTAGGTCAAACATATTAGTCAAACTCAGATGTTACATTTAATAAAAATACATTATGCTCTTTTTCTGATTTATGTACACTCCAAATGTCTGAACATTCTGCACACTACTGTATCATTATGTACAAGTGCAAGGTCAATGTTTCCACGAGTATGTTATGTACAGACTCTCCTGCGACACACACAGTTACCAATGACAATGATGACGCATTCTCTCTCAGTAACTGGCTCCAGCTGTGCTCCTCTTCCTCCCCTTGCACCCTTCTTCTGCCCACAGCCTGGAGGAAGCTGTTTGCTATTGGCTGCAAAGGAGAAGCAGGTGGATTCAGCTGTTTCTCCACAGTTGGAGGAGAGTGAAACCTTACTTGCTTTTTCCCTTCTTTTAAAAAATAAACATCTATTAGAAAAAAGAAAAAGACATAACAAGCTGGCTGGGGGTCATGGTGTATGTTATTTCAAGGCATGAACAAATATGGGGAAGAGACTTCTTTGGCCAAGGAGATTTGGTCCTTAGAACAAGGAAGATCTTCCTTGTGGGAGGACAAGCCTTGTGGCCTCCTTCTTTACCAAGAGGCCTCCTGGCAATAACAGGGTGAGTGGCCAGGTGCTGCAGGCGCTCTGTGGGTGGCGTGTTCTGTAGGGGTGGGGGAGCTCCTGACAGGGTCTTTTCTAGAACCGTCTGCTCTTTAAGAGTGATGTGAAAAGGAAGCTTTTGAGAGGCAAGTCTCACAGTAGAGGTGTTTTGTGCATCAGTGTTTTATGGTTCAACTTCCTTGGAAACATCTTTCCAGAAGCTTCTTCACAGGAGTGGGGTTGGTGTTGGGTTGGAGATAAGACCTCCTCTCTAGGCACTGCATTTAAAGGTGAAATGCCACGGTTTTGTTCTTTTGAGTGTTAATTTCTCCAAATTCAGACTTGAGCACTGCTGTCCAAAGGTCCATCCTAATCAGGTAATGCCAGAGAATTGCAGGTTTTGAAGCACAAGAGATCATGGGAGGCTGCTGCATAATGCCAGAGACAGAGCACCATAAATGGGGAAATGCAACATCCAGGCAGTACCCTGTGGGAGGAGAGCAGGGCATTGATCTACCCCTTAAATTTGGACATCTTCTGTTTGGCAGCACATTCCCTCCTGTCGATTTTCCCATGTGCTTTTCACCCTTATCTGTGTTCTCTGCCCTCCTCAGTCATCAGCGCAGTTTGGGAGGAGGACAGGTGGTCTAAGCCCTGCCCAGGAAAAGGGGGAGACAAGTCCGAGTACTTCTCCAGGCTCTGGGCAGGTGCTGCTCGACAGCAGGGGGCTGTTCCCCTCCTGGTGTCTACTCCACCCCCAGCTGAGGATGGGACCCAGGTTCATAGCAGGCTACAGAACACAAAGCCGGTCTTTGACCCAGATGTCCCAAGCACACTCAATGCTTGATTCTGCTCAAAGGAGATATGTGACATGAATGAGTCCTTTCCTCTGTGGTTACCTGCCAGGGGGAGCCCAGAGGGCCAATCAAATATCAGGACTAGACTGACACCAGGTAGGGGCAGGTGACACATGGGGACCACAATTTCTCAACAGTGTACTTTTGGAGAACAATAAAAACAGGCACGTTCACAGTTCATTTCTGCTTTCCTCAGTCCCTGCCGCTAGGTCAAATGTTCCTTGGGGTGAGAAAATTCTTTCCTGGATGCAAATTAGATTTTAGAAAAAGAGCAGACTGCCAATGGTAGCTATTTAAAATTTACAAGAATGTAGGAATGCAATTATGTAAAAACTTAGGCTCACTAACTTTCCAATTGCTAGATCTATTTAAAGTCTAGGCACTTAGTGTGTGTATATGTGTGTGCACGTGCGCATGTGCGTGTGTGTTTGAATGAGAGAAAGAGCAGGACAGAATTTCAAATGGATTACAACTAAATTAAGTTGCTATTGAAAACACCTATTACATCCACTTACATTCTAAGTAACACTGCTGACTTTGACATTTAATTCAGCCCCCTTCTATCTTAGTCTGACACGATTCAAAAGAGATAGACCATTATTAATTCTCAACTAGAAAAAAGCTACTTCCTGGAAGAAAGATAATCTGCTGAAACTGTGCAAACATATATGGCACATCTTTAAAAAAGATAGCAGGCTTCAGGTGAAAACAAGTTAATTCATCTGAGTAGTTTGTAAAAGACCACACTGAAGAACAGAATATGAAGGTCTACTTGTGACCCCGTCTTTCCATTTTTGCAGTTGAGACAGTCCCAAGAACAGTTTCCACATGCGAACCCCGGCATCACTCCTGACTCTCTCTCTAGCTCTACACTGACCTCCACCAACAAGTGGACCACCCCTGGACCTGAAGGTAAATTATTTCCTATGCAAAAGTAAAAGGTTAGATGCTGGACATGGATGGGAGAAACTGTCAAAGAAAGTTTGTGATCATGCAGATGAGTTGGGTGCTTCGAAGGTTTCCAGTTTTTTGCCCCACACGGCACCATTGCGCCCCTGCCTGTGCCATCCCCTGCAGACGGCTCTGGTGGGCCACATGCCCCCATGTGCATGGGAGAGTCCCTGGCCCCAGCATCAAATGCAGGTTCCAGGCTGTGCAGGGGGCTGCTGCTTCCGGTTTCTCACTGCTCCTGACTTTTCTTTGTACACTATTGGCATCTGCTGAGAAATGTCCACCAGGGCGCTGGCCACAGCAAGACCTTGGGAGAACACACAGAAGGGGACACATGTCAAGGAGCAGTTTGTTTTTGTTTTTAAATAATTTTAAAATTTGTTTTTTACATTACCATGGTGCAAATTTTTGGGGGGGGGGTACCAGGGATCGAACTTGGGACCTTGCGCTTGTGCAGCAGGCACTGGAACCACTGAGCTAAATCCGCAGCCCCCATGGTGCAAAATTTAAAAAAAGTACACAGTGAAGAGTCTAACCTCTACTGTGCACCTTCCCCTACATTTTCTACCTCACCTAGGTAAACCTCTTTATTAATTTCATATTCTTCCAGGGTTTATTTATGCAAATGCACCTACATACCCCGCCCCACTCTTTTGACACAGAAGGTGTAGCCTGCTTGTCAGCAGATGTCCGTCTGGCAGCGGGAATGTGGAAGAAGACTGTAGCTGTGCCCTTTCTCCTGCCTGCCTCCAAAAGGGGGGCAAGAAAGGCAGGGCGTGGTGGCACACTACTATAATCCCAGCACTCAGGAGGCTGAGGCAGGAGAATCACTGTGAGTTTGAGGCCGGCCTGGAATACAAAGTGAGACCTTGACTCAAAAAAACAAAAAAGGTGGCAAGAAAAAGCTGCATGCTTTAGCATGAACTTCAGATTCATCCCACACCATTCACTTGGCATGGGTTATTTTTATATCCACACTGTGATGCAGGGCAGGGTAAACTCTAGGGCCAGGTTTTGGAACAAGCAAGATTCTTTAAGCCTCCCATGTCTCAGTTCTGGATTTGTAAGATGAGCACATTAGCTGCACAGGGCCAGTGGGAGGAGTCTGTGAGTGAATTTCTTACCTCTTACTCTCAATCACCCCCCTCCCCAGGGGGGATGAATAGTCCTTCTATATTGTAATGAACCTGGTGTTCAATGGGCAGGTCAAGGTACTAGGAAAGCTGGATCCCTAACATTACAGAGGTGGCCAGCCTGAGCTCAGAGCCCCTCTGAGGCTGCCCTTGGGGGCTGTCATTGTTATCCCCCCTCTGCTAGGCCTGTCAAATGGGGAGGAGAGAAGGATGGCTCTTAAGTGCCTGGTTTTGTGGTTAGCACAGTGGAGAATCCACACCAGTGACAACTGTTATGGCAAAGTCAGATGTTCTAGAATTCAGAAAAGGGCACCAATTTTGTGTGTGGGGACCTGGAGGTGTGGCTTAGTCATAGAACACTTTCTTAGTGTGTGGCAGGCTCTGGTTCCATCCCCAACACCCCCCCCCCCAAAAGTTTCTAGGTATGGTGGCATACACCTGTAATCCTACCTACTCACAATGCTGAGACCTGAGGATCCCAAGCTCAAAGCCAGCCTCAGAAACTTAGAGAGACCCTGTCTCAACATCAAAAGGGCTGGGATGTAGTTCAGTGCTAGAGTGCTTGTCTTGCCTATATGTGCAAGGCTGTGTCTGATCCCCAGTACCACAAAACCAAAAAAATGTTCACATAAAATTGGAGTTGTAGAAGGGATTTAAAAGATGGCCTTTCTGTTGGAGTGGGCCTTGAGCAGCGGGCAGGGCCTCAGCAGGCTTTCCAGGCAGCGGGGTGCACCAAGTGTGTTGCCACCAGGGACCTTGCTCCAGGGAGCACCAGTATTTGCAGAGCTAGGTGGTGAGAGGAGACACCTACACCTGAGTGCTAGGTCATGAGCCATGTTGTCCTCAGTACTGGCAAGACTAAATCAGAGTCTCAACTCCAGGAATCCTGAGGTAAGGTAGAAAATGAATCCTGACCTCGCCATCTCCGGGGCCTCCTCTGTGAGGATACCACAGATCCCTGCTGCTGTGTAAACTGAACCAGAAGCCTTTCTGGTCCACAGGTGCTCTGAGGGGACACGTAGCTCAGGCCTGGACATCCTGGGCATCCTTTCCCCCCAGACTCTAGGTCATCTTTGGTGGAGGCCACCATGAGCTTCAGGATCTCTGTATATGAAGGCTAACATGTTAGTGCTGCTTGAGGTATCCCTATGGAGTATGTCATAATTAAACAAAGTATTTCCAGAACTGCATTCCATAAGTGCCTCTGTGTTCCAAGTAAGAGAATATTTATGCAAATCATGATTCATGTATTTGATGGAAAGGTGTACAAATATTGGTACAATACTATGTGGTAAGCTGTAAAAATATTAATGACAGTTATATGAGAAAGGAAGAATGAAAATTAGATCCATATAGTCATTCCAACTAAATTGCTGGCAAAGGCTAGAAAGAAAACAGAATAATAAAAGTTGGTGGGTGTTAGCACTGCAGAACTGTGAGTGAATTTTCGGAAATCTCCTTTATGTTGTTATTATGGTTGTCTGTGACTTCTATTTCAAACATAGTAGAAAAGCAAAAGAAACACAGTGGGGCTAGAAATACCAATGTAAGGATCACGAGCTTTGAAGAGACAGTGACAAGCCAGGGGTACAGAGATGACCAGCAGGGGAGGATGGAGTGCAGGGGAAGGCAGCCTAGATTCAGAGAATAAACAAACAAAAAAAGCCCGGAGGGTGCAGCAGAGCCAGAGGGTCTAGGAACATGGGGGCAGAGGAAGGTGTGGTCTGAAGTATCCTCTACCACTGAGAGGCTGAGGAAGGCTGGACTTCTCCAGGTAAGGTCGGAATGGTGACCTCAGGAACAGATTTTGGAATTAAGTGACAATGGCATTATATGACATAATCCTTGCCATGACAATCTTGCCGTTTTGTGCTGCTCTCTGTGAAGGAGAGGCTTCCAGGGCCTGGCTCCTTCACAGTCTCTGCCCCTACTTACCTGACTGCCCAGGAGGAGGTATCCCACCCAGGCCTCGAGGGAGCCTCACGAACACAGAAAGGACTGCAGCTTTGTTGCCAAAACACGGCTCCAGGGCAATGGGCTTGGGAACGGTCTGTGGAAGAAAAGAATTACCTAAAGTGGTGTTCCTCCAACTCTCACCTAGCCAGATACTTCCTGCTCACTGGTGCTTACAAGGACCACAATTTGAGGTGCATAGAAGAAACAGAGGTTTTTTTGTTTTTTTTTTTTCTGGTACTAGGGATCGAACTTGGGTCCTTGCACTTGCACAGCAGGTGGCGAAACCACTGAGCTAAACCCCCGGCCCGAAGAAACAGTTTTTAACATCCACCATGAGAAGGACGGTACTGCTTGCTACCTTCTACAGAGTTCCCCACATCTACTCTCCTTGAAGGTGGCCTGAACTGTTGGGAAGGTGATGTCTAGGTGACTTCATCTGGGCTCTGTACTTTTACTTAACTTGAAACCCTAACTCACACTTGTAGGTCACAGACAGATATTTTCCAGAGTTCTGCGTACCTGGCTCACACGCAGACCCTGGGATTATGGAGACTTTTTTGTAAATTGAAGCTTATTTCATCCTCTGGCACTAAGTAGATAGGTCCCTGGATGAAAGCGCCTGGAACAGCTGGACAGTTCACCCAATAGATTCCTCATGGACTCTTTGGATGCACATGGGTCTGGAAAATATGTCCTCACTTTCTATTGCAGCCTTTAGATGTGATATGCAAAGATGCCCCCTGTATTGGTTTCTGTTGCTATGCAGCCAACTTAGCTGTTTACAAAATAGCCCTTTACTGTCTTATGGTCCTGCAGAGCAGAAGTGGATGCAAGCTCCATGAGGCTCTCTGCTTAGAGACTCAGGCCTAATTATGTCCACATCAGCTCTGGACAATGCTCAGCCTCTCTCACGTGGGACTGGCAAGGCTGAAGTCAAACTGTTGGTTGTGCTGTGCTGTTCTCCGGGGGTCTGGAGGAAGGATCTGCTTTAAAACTCATTCTGGTTGTTGGAGGATCCAGTTCCTCATGGATGGAGGTTGAAGGGTCCCCATTTCCCTGCTGGCTGTGTGAGACCTGAGTGACTCCATTTTAAAGTCTTGGCCCCATTTTAGAGTAAAGGTGGCCTGGACATAAATTCTAGTTCTGAGAAAAACCACAAGATGCACTTTGGCCACCTGCCTGTGATAATGTCCATCAGTCCCCTAGCAACTAGCCTAGCGACAGCTAATCGGTAGCTGCCTCAATGTCCCAGATGCTCTTCTCGATGGCCTGCAACAGCTAATCAGTAGTTATCCCAATACCCCAGTATCCCAGATGTTCTTTTCGATGACTTGAGCAGCCGTTTGCAGTTCAGCGCGCAAGGCCCAGCCAATTAGGTTTAAACTTTCAAAACTTGCTAAATGCTAGCCAATTGTGTGATTTGCGTGTGATTTGAAACCCCACGCCCTTTTCGAAACCCCGCACCTTGCTGTAACCTCTATAAAAACCCCTGGTGTTTTAGAGTCAGGGCTCTCAATCTTGACCCGCTGCGTCGGTGACACTTGAGAGTCCCTGCTCAAGCTTGAATAAACGACCCTCGTGTGTTTGCATCGGAATCGGTTCCTTGGTGGTCTTTGGGGACCTCGCGATCTGGGCACAACAGCTGTCGGTCAAGAGCCACTCTCCTCTCTTGGAGGCACCCTGTGTTTCTTCTCACATGGCTCTTTCCCCCAGGACTCCCTGCCCAGCTTCCTCTTCTGCCACAAGCCAGTGGCACTGCTATGAAGGGAATTTTATTATATCTGCAAAATTTCTTCATAGTAGTGCCTAGGATAGTGTTTGACTGAATAACCAGGGGACAGGAATTGAGAGCCACCTTTAGAGATCTGCCTCCATTAATCATAAATATGTCATCAATTTCTTCAACTTGGTTGAAGAAAATGATTTCTAGTACTCCTCTGCTGAGGCACAGAAAACCCACCAGATAGGTGAAATGGTAGTGGTGGAAATTCAGTTATTAGGCAACCAAAAATATCTAGGTGAAGCCAGCCACAGTGGTGCACACCTGTAATCCCAGCACTGTGGTAGACAGAGACAGAAGGATTGCAAATTAAGTGCCACATGGGCAACTTAGTGACTTAGCCAGACCCTCTCTCAAAATGATAAACAAAAAGGGCTGGGGATGTAACTTAATGGTAGAGTGGCCCTGGGTTGGATCCACAGTACTGCTAGCTAATCAATCATTCAAACAAAGAAACCCTGTGCTGTTTATAGAAGATATTTTAAAATATAATAGAAAAAAGTTGAAAATAAAACCATGATCTAATAAAATAAATCATGAAAATACAGGTAGAGGGGTTCACTAATGTTTTGGTTTGGAAATAATTTGGTTTGCAAACAGAAACATTTGGCAAAATTTTGTTTTTATTTGCAAACTCTGCATTGGGTGACAAACACAAATGTGGCCATCTCTCCTGCACAAATACAATCATGGCCATCTTTCCCACACAAACTTTTATGTGGCCATTTTTTCCAAAATTGTAAAACAAATTAAGTTTGTGAACCAAGGTACCACTGTATAACCTTGATGTCAAGATCTGACAAAGCATACATAAATGAACACAAATGTAACTGCAAAATCTTAAAATCCTAGCAAAGAGAATTTATAGCCTTTGATATAATTATACTACAGTATGACTAAGTGAGGTTTACCTTAGAAATTTAACTACAGTCCATTATTAGGAAATGTATTAATAAAAATCCTCACAGAAATAATGCAAAATATAAAAAAGTCATGATTACCCTAAAAATCATAATTTTCTGGCATATGAGTACTAGAAAATTGTAAAACTCATAATTTCTTTGTTTAAAATGCATTTAAGGGAAAAAAAAATCACTGAGCAGATTACTATGTTCTAGACCCTGTTCCTGGTACTAGAAATGAAATAACAAATCTAGCTGAATTCCTGCCTTCACGAAACTCGCAGCCTAGGAGCATTAAACAAATCACTTCACAAATCTGATGAGTGATAGGGAAGAAAATTAGAGGTTTCCAAGAGCCTATCTATATATGAAAATGGAGCAGGCATGGTGCTGCATGTCTGTAATCCCAGCACTTTAGAAGGGTGGGGTGGAGGCTTATAAACTCAAGTCCCACTTGGGTAATTTAGTGAGATCCTGTCTCAAAATAACAAATTAAAAAAAGGGCTGGAAGGCCGGGGATTTAGCTCAGTGGTACCATGCCTGCCTCACAAGCGCAAGGTCCTGAGTTCAATCCCTAGTACCAGGAAAAAAAAAAGGGCTGGGGATGTGGCTCAGTGTGAAGACCCTAGGTTCAGTTCCCAATACAGAAAAAAAGAAAGGAAAAAAAAATAGAAAAAATCTAGGTGAGAGATGACAGTGGCTTAGAACAAGGTGGCAGCAACGGCGGAGGTGAGGTACAGTGGTTAGAAAATGTGGAAGACACCAAAATATTTGATGCTACTGGCTGTGCAATGACAGAACAAGAGTGAGAACTAGTTAAGAATGATTCCATAGTTTTGGTTTGAGCAACTAGAAGGATGGGGCAGCTTTCACAGAGCAGGGGAAGACACACCAGAGAATGGGTCAGGGGCACAACATCCACAGCTCAGTTCACACATTAAGTCTGACATGCTTGTTAAGACATCCAAGTGCGGACAATGAGTAATAATGACTTGGAGGGTCATGGGAGAGGTCTGGGTGGAAGGGATCATGGGCTGTAAATCTATGATGTAAAAGACATAAGAGGCCAAAGACTAAATCTGGGATATATTAGTTGGGAGAGCACTTGCCTAGCATGAACATGGACCTGGGTTCTATCCCCAGCACTGCAAAAATAAATTAAAAAATAAAAGATGTTGAGCCGATGAAGAGGACTGAACCACTGGGCAAGAGCCATCAGGAAGTAAGTGTGATGTGTGAAAGGAAAGTATTTTAAGGAATAACTAACTGTGTCACATGCTGTTGACATACATAGACTTGTTCAACATTTCAGGTTTGTCTATTTTTAAAAATCCCACAAATTATTATTATTTTGTCAGGCCAATGTTTGTTTAGGAACATGCTTATGATTTTATTTACTCACTATTCTTTCTTATACCATCTTTCTTGAGTAATTTTCCTTCTTTCTAGCATATCCTTTAGACATTTCTCACATATACATTGATTGTGGCAAATTCTGTTTTTCTTCTAATCTGAAAATACCTTTTTTCATTCTTGTTCTTGAAAGGCACTTATTGGGCACACGAGTCAAGGGTTCCACTACTGAGCGACATCTCCAGCCCTTCCCAAGTTTAAAAAAAAAGGTTATAAAATACATGCAAAATCTTCTATCTTAACTGTTTAAAAGTATACATTCAGTGGTGTTAAGTAATTTACGTTGTTGCACAACCATTAGCACTATCCATCTCCAGACCTCTTTTCATCTTGCAAAATGTAAACTATCCATTAAACACAAACTCCCCATTCTCTTCTCTCCCTAGCCCCTGGCAACCACCAGTATTTCCTGTCTCTATGAATTTAATTATTCTAGGTAAGTGATACAAGTGGAATCATATGGTATTTTAAAAATAACTAGCTTATTTCACTTAGCATTATGCCCTCCAAGTTCACCCATGTTTATAGCATGTATCAGAGTTTCCTTCCTTTTAAGGCTGAATAATATTCCATTCTAGGTATATATTACATTTTGCTTATTCATCCACTGAAGGACACTTGATTGCTTCCCCTTTTTGGCTACTAAGAATAATGCTGCCATAAATAATGTTGTATAAATATCTCTTTTTGAGATTCTACTTTTAATTCTTTTGGGTATATACCCAGAAGTGAAAATGTTTGATCACATGATAATTCTTTTAATTTTTTTAATGAATAGCAATACTGTACTTTTACAGGGGATGTATCATTTTACATTTCCACTAAAAGTGTACAAGGATTCCAATTTCTCCACATTGTAGATGAATCAATCTCTGGTTGTTTTTAAGGTATTTTTTGTCTTTGGAGTTCTGCAGTTTCACTATGGTAAATCCACCTATAGTTTTCTTGTTGTCTTCCTTCTTGTTTGTTCTCTTTAATCCTGCATATGATATTTTCTGTTTTGGAATCTTTACATACATGTATTCTATCACTTCTGGAAAATTCTCAGTCATTAAATATTTGAATATTGCCTCTTCACCATTTATTTGTTCTGGTACTCTAATAATACAATACTGTATCTCCTCATTCTGTCCTCCATAACCTTATAAATGGTGCTACATTTGGTGTAATTTTTTCACATTCCTCTTCCAGTTCTTAAATTCTCTCATTTGTGTCTAATGTATTTCTGAGTTATTTCAACAACTATATTTTTCATTCCTAGAAGTTCCACTGGTTATTCTTGACTTGCATAGCTTCATCATCTTTATGATTCTAATTTTTATTTCTTTTTTTTTTTTGGTACTGGGGATCAACTCGGGACCTTGTGCTTGCAAGGCAAGTGCTGGAACCACAGAGCTAAATCCCCAGCCTCTTTTTATTTCTTTAAACACTTGATACATAGCTGCATTATATTCTTTAGATGTCAGTTGTAACATCTGCGGTCCTGCCTAAATCACCTCTTGTTTCTGCTAACTCTCTCTACCAGTGGCCACCTCTTCTTATACTTGGTGATCATCAGTTGCTTGATCCTGAGCTGTGGTACTCCTACAGAGATTGGAGATGTTTTCCTATGAGGAAGATCTGCATCCACTTTAGCATGGAGTTGTGATGTGTTACCTGCCTAGAACCACTTTAGGCAACTCATGGCTTTGGTTTTGGTTCATTATTTGTTCTTTTTAGAGGAGGGAAAGAAGAGTAGTTCCTGGAGGTTTCATCTCTTTTTTATGAGCTCAGTAATGCTTTAAAAAGTATGTCTTACTCAGGATAGTTTTCCCAAACTATCTGACATGTTTCACTGTTTTGTCAAGAAAGTCCTATCACCTTATCATTTTAGGGGGAGTCAAAATATTTATTTTCCAGAGAAAACATAGCAAGTTATAATTTTGCTACTTAAAAAAGAAACCAAGAATATAATTATAAAGAACAATGGTCCAGTTTGGTTATTTTCAAATAAAAATTTTAAACTATTTGCCACAGAATACTTAAAAGTGTATCCGATACAGAAATTTATATGTAAAAATTCCCTGAACATAAGACTGTTTAATAACACAAACCAATGATTAGAAAATGAAAGTAGAAGACTACTTGACAACTTCAATGTTTAGCTGTTTTTTTGTTTTGTTTTTTGTTTTTGAGACAGGGTCTCACTATGTAGTTCAGGCTGACCTGAACCCACAATGTAGCCCAGGCAGGCCTCAAACTCATGGGGATCCTCCCGCCTCAGCCTCCCAAGTGCTGGGATTACAGGCGTACACCACCATGGTTGGCTAGCTTACTGTTAAAGAAGAGAGAAGAAAAAGAAGAGTAACCAAACAAGGCACTTGCTCTCACTGGTTTGGCATGTTCGGAAGCATGAGTTTTGAAGAATTAACCTATGAGGACTTTTGAATAACCTTCTCACCTTTATACTTCCCCCAATAAGGTCAGGAGGCTCTTCATCTGTTTCCAAGGCAACATTTACGGAAGCAAAGGGTCGACTGGCCATTTGCTGCATCTCTCGAAGAAGTTGCTAATAGATAATATAGCAAGCATTAGGCAACAAGTATCAAGGGGATTCTATTACTGAACAGTGCATATTAAAAATACCTTATCTTCCCTGATTCAAACCAATCAAATCTAAAATCAAACTTCTGTGACAGTTGGGGAAAACTAGACATGGACCAGGTATTAGATAACATTAGGAATTATTAAATTTTGTTAGATGTGGTAACATTGTTGTTGTATCTTTAAAAGCTTATCTGTTGGAGATACACACTGCAGTAGTGGTGGATATTATGCTATGATGTCTGCATGTTAAATACATAAAATGATGGAGCCCTATTGCTTCATTTTCCTACCACTTGATTAAAGTAAGGCCTGCTTTCTTCCCACTGAAACTGAACCAGATATTCATACAGCAACAAAACATTGAGCCTTACTGCACAGCAGACAAGACTGAGTGAACTTCTCATTCAGAAATGGTGTGAGCAAAAAACACAAATGGGAGATTCTGTAGAGAGACAGAAGGGGCTCTGAACTCAGGGAAATGTGGATGTGAACCCCTGCTCCAACTCTTTCCAGCTGTATGACCTTAAGAAAGGTGTGTAAGGGCCGGGATTTAGCTCAGTGGTGCTGCCACCTGCCTTGCAAGCGCAAGGTCCCGAGTTTGATCCCCAGTACCAAAAAAAGAGAGAAAGGTGTGTAAAAGCTGGGTATAGAGATGCATGCCTATAACCCTAGCACTTTAAGAGGTTGAGGCAGGAGAGTTGTGAGTTTGAAGCCAGCCTGGAACAGAGCGAGCCTGTCTCAAAAAAAATGAAAAAAGAAAATGAAAGGTGTGCTTAACATCTCTGGGCTTCAGTTTCTTCTTCTTTGAATCATTTTGATTCCATGAGGTCAACAGGTTCAGTTAAACACTGCCAAGCACATGGTACATGGTCACCCATGTATCCTTAAGGATATTAAGAGATCTTCCGGGCATGTTCTTGAGGTTTGGGTTGGAAGACACACAAGACTTATGACAAACTACTTCCTAGGAATTATGGTAGGAGACAGAATCCTGGGCTGCAGAGCTCAGGGTTCTGTTCTAGAAGGGAGTTTTTATGTTAAAACAATATATTTTTCCATTTTAAAAAGATGATGGTTCACTTATTTACTCAGCAATTATATGCAGCAACCCAGCTCTCTGCTCTGTGCTCATCTAAGTCAGTCACAGTGAGACAGAGATCCTCCCCTCCTGCAGCTCCCACTCCAGATCTTCTCAAGAGTGCAGGAGCTGATGTGGGCAGAAGCCTTCCAAACAGGGCCTGGTATGTGCAAGGATTTAAAGTATCCTGACTAGGAATAAATCACTACTGATCTTCTAGAAACGATAAAATATATGATGAATGGTCAGGTTCAGAGTTACAGAAACATTCCAAGCCACAAGGGTAAAAGCTTAGTCTTTCAGTTTTCCCATGTCTGTTGTTCACTTACACTATCTCTGAAGGAAGAGTTTACTCAGTCCTGTCCTCTGTGCAACAAGGCACAATGTTGTGCTGCTGTATGAATATCTGGTTCAGTTTCAGCAGGAAGAAAGCAGGTTTGACTTTAGCCAAGCAACAGGGCTCCATTGTCCCGTTTTCCTTTTTCATTTTGAGTCAGGGTCTTGCTAAATCACTAAGTTGCCCAGGCTGGGCCTACACTGGGTTTGAACTTGTTTATCCTCTTGCCTCAGCCTCCCACAATGCTGGAATTACAGGTGTGCACCACCACACCTGGCTCCCTTTATTCTCATTCTTATGAAAGGCTCTTGAGAAAGCTGTGTCAAATCAAGTGGTGGCCATGGCTGTGGCAGAATTAAGGATGTTCTATCCATGCAGGACTACATTAAGTCAACTGACTATGCTGAAGAACCCTATCTCGCTGAGATGCGTGCATCTATCACTAATCACTAAACAGTTAAAGTGACTTGCCTCAGAAAAAGTTCTCCCCGGGATTCTCTATCTTTATTAAAGAGGCTTACCTCTCTACGCCTGGAGGCCCAACAACTTTGTTTGATCTTCCAAACCACAGCAGCCACCAGGAGCAAAGATAGGAAACAACTGTGAAAAAAGAATGTAACAAGTTATTATCCCAGTCCCAGAATCAGTACCACTGTCATCCACACCTGGGTCCAGGTCTTAACTTCAAGCTCCCTTGTAGTGCTTCACCACCAGGCCCCAGTCACAGGAAGCAGAGCAGGAGAAGACTTTGGTGAGTGAGCTTCCTGGCCTGATTTATAGGAAGGCCCTACTAGGTGCTGGGAGAGAGCGCTGACCTCTCAGGGTCCTATCAGAATGACCCATGGGGCCAACCCCAAACATGAGAAACAATTCTAAGATAATGACAACAGATAACAAGCAGGCCATTAATCAAAGTAAACATTTACTAGTAAAGTCTAAGAAAAGTTCATTATTAAAGTAACAATCAGCTTTTCATAAGAGTTAAACAGAAGGAATAGAATTGTATACGTATTAATGTATTTTCAATAATATTTTTACAAAGTAAATACATATATTTTTATAAAAGAAAACATTTAAGATGACCAATGCAAGCCAACAACTTTCTTAAAAACATTAAAAGAAAAATAACTCTCATTGGTCTTAGAACTGAAAAGATTTCAGTGTCATCTCATCTATAAACCAGGTGTTGAATGATTTGAAAGCTACCATGAAGGCAAAGAGTGACTCACTTCTGGTTAAAAGGAAAAATGAGCCAAATAAACCCTTAGATATCTGCTATAAATAACTTTTAAGTTGGTATTTTTACTCATAACTTGTAAAAGGGGCTTGCTGTGAAGTATTTTCCAAAGAGTTCCAGGAGACATAGAGCTCTCTGCTCCGCTGCAGTCGGGGACCCTCTTGAGAGGCTCTGTGTTTGAAGTATAGGGTTAGTTTCGTTTGTGACACTGACAGACTGTTCTCCCAGGCCAGCTGGAGAAAGGCATTCTAAGCTGCTGGGAAGATGGAACTGCCCTTTCACCAAGAGCTCAAGGGTCCTACAGGCCCCTGCCTCCTAAAGCATGTGGTGCAGACCCCCTCCAATAGATGCCTTGACAAAAGAAGTGTCTTCAAGCCCCTGGTCACCAGTCAGTGGACAGCCTTTAAGTCTGTCTTGGGCCTCTCTGCTATCTGTGCCTCTCTGGCAACATTCTATGGTGTTCTGCGGTGTTCTTTGAATTTGTACGAGGCCAGGTCCTGTTCCCAGCTCATGGAATACATCAATGAATAAGAAAAAGATCACTGGTTCCATGGACCATGTAGTTTACATTCCAGCAAGTGAAAGGCAACAGTACACAGAAACAAATGAGAGCCTGTCAGAAGGCAGTAAGTGCTATAGACATAAAAAGGTAAGGAGGGCAAGTGGCACTCTAGAGCAGATGGTCAGAGGCTGGGGATATAGCTCAGTGACACAGCACTTGCCTGCCTGGCATGTGCAAGCCCCTGGGTTCCTTTCTCAGGACCAAAAAAAAAAAAAAAGCTAGAGTAGATGGTCAGAGTGAATAGACCTTCTTTCCCAAAAAGGTAACACTGGAATAAGCAGAGGGTGGATTTACAAAGTGCACTGGAAAAAGAGATCAGTCATCAGTCATGTAAAACCCAAAGTAAGAACATAACTGTCATGTTGAGATGTTAACTTATTCTGAGACCATCTGGGTGGCCACAGCAGGACCAAGGAGGGATATAATCTAGATAAGACAACAATGGTGGAAACCATGGTGTTAGCAAAGGTGTGAAAAGCACTTTGGAATCTGGACATAATTTATAGAGACAAAAAGAGCTCCTGACGGGCTGATTGTAGGTTATGGAAGAAAGAGTTTTTGGTGTAAGGGACTTGCCATCAACCTAGAAAGAGGGAAGGCACTGGGTAGAGCAGGAGGGAGACGCAGATCAGGAGTCCCATTGATGTGTACCAGGCAGCCAGGGGAGACACATGGGGCAGATATAGGAAGTTAGAGGCGGGGTGCCAGGTAGTTTGGAGATGGCATTTGGGAGTCATCAGCACATTATTTGGTATTTGAAGCAATCAACTTGCATGAAGTCACCAGGGGGGATAAATACAGATACAGGAGTGTCCTGAGGGTACCCAATTTGAGAAGTTGGGGAGAAAAGGAAGAACCAGTAAAAGAGTCTGAGAATAACCTACATTTTTCTTGGTTCCATGTACAACCCTGCTTCTTGTTACTTTTATTCCCATAGATAAGCACAGGAGGGTAAGAGAAACAGGCAGGCTCATGCCTGCTGTAGCAGCATAAATTCATACAACTATTCTGAGGGACTATCTGCTGATGTTTTCACATTTTGATACAGCAATTATAAAACACTATCCCAGAAAGATAGTCACAGAAAAATGCAAAAACATATGCAAAAAACCCTGAGGATAATCTAAGACTCAGGCAAAAGAGGAATGATCAAATAGAATAAGATGCATTCATACTATGGGAAAAGTTTTAAAAAACAAGGTGAGGGCCGGGGATTTAGCTCAGTGGCACCGAACCTGCCTCACAAGCAGGTCCTGAGTTAAATCCCCCTTACCCCCCCCCCTAAAAAAACCCAACAAGAACAAGGTGAAAGCTGGGCCTGGTAGCAAATCCTTGTAATTCTAGCACTCTAGAAGGCTGAGGCAGGAGGATTACAAGTTCAAGTTCAGATTGGGCAACTTAGCAAGATCCTGTTTAAAAAAAAAAGGTGGAGACAGGAGGTATAGCTCAGTGCAAAGGCCCTGGTTTCAACCCCTAGTATATATAATATACTAATATATTGTACATTCCCTAGTTAAAAAAAAATTGATTCTATGTATAGGGAAAGCAAACCACAGAATACTGAGTAACGCTGAGTAAGCTGTAATGGTTTAGATCTAAAATGTCCTCCAAAATCCTCACATTCAGAGGTAGGGCCTTGTGGGAATGTGCTAGTCACTGGGGGTACGGTTTGGAAGGGTATATTCTCTCTTCCTCAGGTCCCCTCTCCTCCAATCTTTCCCTGCTTCCTGGCCATCATGGGGTGAACAGCCTTCCTCTGTCATGCATTCTGCCTTGGAGTCAGCTGACCATGGGTTAAATCCATTGAAACTGGAGGCTAAAATAAACTTTTCCTCCTTTAAGTTGGGGTGTTAGGTATTTTGTTCCAGTGATGGGAAAGTTAATTAATACAGAAAATTGGTACTGGGGGTGGGGCTATTGCTATGACTAAACCTGATCGTATGATTTGATTTAGAAGCCTTTGGAACTTTTTGTAGGAGTTTGGAAAAGTTAGGAAGCCAGACATGATGGCACATATCTGTAATCCTAGCATCAGGAGGTTAAGGCAGGAGGATTGCTGTGAGTTCAAGGCCAGCCTGGGCTACACAGTAAGTTCAAGGACAACCTGAACTGAGTTCAAGGACAACCTGAAAAAAAATGGTTGGAGAAGTGAGATAAAGAAGCTGTAGAGTGCTCTGAACAGAGATTGATGAGAAATTCTGGTTGGAGTTCAGAAGACCAGAGTGCTGAGAGGAATGTGGACAATAAAGTCCAGGTTCAGGAGGTTTCAGGTGGGAATAAGGACTCTATTGGTAGCTGGACTAGAGGCCATGTGTGTTATACTCTGGCAGAAAATCTGTCTATATTCTGTCCATGTCCTGAGACTATAGTAGACTGAGATTAAGGGTGATGGGCTAATTAATTTACTGGAAAAAATATTAAGGCAGCCCAGTGTTCAGCTTGTAACATGAGTACAGCTGGTTGCTTTTAGCCAGATCTACAGTGAAAATCAGTAGCAGAAAGCAGAGCTGAATTATTTGAAAAGTTTGTAGTTCTGCCAGAAAGAAAGCTCCTGCAAAGTTGGGGCAAAAGAGAACATGGTTCCTGAAAAGATTAGCATTAAAAAGAAGCCAAGTACAGTAGTAGCTTGGTTCATGAACTTAAATTTGTTCCACAATTCTGGAAAAGATGGCCACATTCATGTTTGTATGGGAAAGATAGCCATGTTCCTGTTTGTTACCTGATAAGGAGTTTGCAAACAAAACCAAAATTTTGCCAAATGCTTCTATTTGTGAACCAAATTGTTTGCAAACAGAATCGTTTGGTGAACTTAGGTACCACTATATTTTGCAACAGAACAATAGGAAAGATGGCTCAAAGGCATCTCAGAAATCAACAAGACCTACCTCCTGGAGGCTCAAGGGCACAAAACTCTAAATATTAAATAAGAGAGTCTCTTGGACGCCTGCTTATTTAGGACTGCCTAGGGAAGTGTATCCCTGAATTCAGCCAACCAGGTACTCAAGAGGCCACTGCAGTCATGTTCCAAGGGGGCCTAGCTACTCTTCAACCTTGGTGTCACCCATATTGTGCTGGTTTTTCAGGCATAAAGAATGTATGAGTTATGGGGCTATAGAGGCTTGTGCTCATATTTTCAAAGGCCTGGGAGGCCATACAAAAATGTGTGACAGGGTCACAGTCTCTTCCAGGAGCCCACAAGACAGCAGTACATGAGCTGTGAGTGAAGCTAAAAGTACAATCCCCAGGAAGCTGGTGATGTCAGGAACACACAATGTCTTCAGAGGAAAGCCACAGATAGTGAGTGGAGCCAGTTCAAGTGAGAGGTCAGGTGAATTGTAACCAGCAAGGTCACAGGGATGGGGGCACCAAAACTTTGGAACTCACATCTTACCACAACCTGCCTCAAGGGCTGGAAATGAAGTGACAGGATTTAATGTTTGCCTTGCTTGGTTTTGGTCTTGCTTTGGTCTCATTTCTGCCTATTCCTGTTCCTCTCTTTTGGAATGGGACACTGTATGACGGAAGTGCTTAACTTTCTTTTTGATTTTTACAGGGTCTCACAGTTAAGAATTTGCTTAGAGTCTTAGAGATTTTGGACTGAGGCTTTTTAGAAACACTAGAAGTGTTAAACCTCTGGTAGACTAAATACATTTTGCATAATGAGATGGACATGAGACTTTGGGGGCCATGGGTGAAATATTAAAGTTTAGAACTAAAATGTCCTACAAAAGTCTCATGTTCAGAGGTGTGGCCTGGTCAGAAGGTGCAGGTCACTGAGGTATGACTTGGAACAGCTTTTCT